AAATGGAACTTTCCTGCTCTAGGTCCGCCTCTGAGATACAGGGGAGTTTTCAGACCCAAAATTCCACTCCAGAAAACCACCATTATCACCAGAGCATGCCTTGATGTGGGGTCAAGGGTGTGTCTAGATTAGAATGAACTGAATCTGAATGAACTGAATTTTGCTGCTACCCTTTCCCACTAGTGTGGCCCTGGGCAAGTCTTCCCACTTTTCTGAGTCTGTTTCCTCATCTTCTAACCAAAAGTACAGCACATGTCCCTGAGGCCTCACCAGAAGAAGGAGGACAAGTGATTTGAGGAGAAGGAAAGTAGTTTACTCATTTGCTGGCACACGAGGAGGTTAGCAGACTCCTGTCTTAAAGTACCAATGTCCTGCCTTTGAGCAGGAATACAGAACTTTTAAAGGGGAGGTTTGTAACTTTAGGCTATTGCTGTTCAGCTATAGTTGATGGTTCTGGTTCATCCCATCTTTGACTGGACCTTCTCTGTGACTTTGCCAGGACAGTTCCCTTGAGCCATCTCCTCAGCCATCTCCAAAGAACAAAGGACACTCCCCTGCCCCTTCTGACTGCTGACTTTGGGCAGGGATGCAGTTTTTTTTTTTTTTTTTTTTTGAGACAGAGTCTCACTCTGTTGCCCAGGCTAGCGTCAGCCTAGCTCACAGCAACCTCAAACTCCTGGGCTCAAGCAATCCTTCTGCCTCAGCCTCCCGAGTAGCTGGGACTACAGGCATGTGCCAACATTCCCGGCTAATTTTATATATATATGTATATATATATATATGTGTGTGTGTGTATATATATATATATTTTTTTTTTTTAGTTGGCCAATTAATTTCTTTCTGTTTTTCAGTAGAGACAGGGGTCTCACTCTTGCTCAGGCTGGTTTCGAACTTCTCACCTGGAGTGATCTTCCCACCTCGGCCTCCCAGAGTGCTAGGATTACAGGCGTGAGCCACGCGCACGGCCTAGGGATGCAGGTTTTAATTCCCAAAAGGAGTGGGACAGATTTTAGAGCAACTGAAACATTTTTACCCTTTTTCAGGCCATTCCCCATTACACGCTGATCAATGGGGTTTTATGCTTGCTGTCTTGTAGAGTATAGCAAATAACAGATAGGAAAGTGGGTGATGCAGTGGCAGTAGTAGTGGCAGGGGTAACGCAGTAGTAGCTGAACAGGAAATGCTACTTTCCCTTCTCCAACAAAATCTAAATTACTACAAAGGAAGAAATGCAAAGGAGAACTTTTTGTCCTCCCTCATTTTTGTAAGCGGTAAAACTTCAGGAGACCTAGATTACTTCAAAGATAGAAGAAAAATACGTTAGGAGATGATGGTGCTCTGTTCTTCTGGGATCTGAGAAAAGGGAAAGACCCAAGTTGAAAGAAACAGGTGGAGACAATGGAAGGAAAGGCGGCAAGGCCAGTGCCCAGCTTTCTTAGACAGGAGAGGTTCCCTGCTGAGAAGCGTTGGTTACAGTGCGGTGCCCAGTGGCCGCCTCTGTGTCTCTCCTTCCTCCACCAGCTCTCCCTCTGGAACCTCCCTCCTCCCCTGGGCCACCCTGCCTTATCTTCATAGCTCGTGCACTGCCTGTGTCTGTATCTACAGCCACCTGCATTCGTAACCAGGGTAGCAAGCTTTCTTTTAGCCGCAATAAGACTATTTTGGCATTTGCTGCATTTACATATGACACAGGGATCTATTCCAGTTACCTTTAATAAGGCGGCATCCATGTGTGTAATTTCATAGAATGAGATCACCCTGAAGGACTCTTCACCTATGCCCTGGGAGTCCGAGGAGCGCCACGCCTTTGCAGTGTTGTACTGCGCTTGTGCGTAGCTGCCAGGGACGTCAGTCAGTCCTGGCAGGATTCCACAGCTGCTCATCCCAGACAGTGGATTTGGACCGGTGCTGATAAGACTAATTCGAGAGAGCCCTGGCCACCTCCTGGCTGTGGCGGGGCCTGTCCAGGGGCCTTTAGGACAGGCTATACCACCTTGTAGAAGCATCAGGCTAGTTCTCCTTTTAACCACTCTAATTTAATCTCTTTAAAGAATTTTCAAGCTGAAGAGAGCAAACTCTCTAAGGCTTACTTTGGGAGGTTACCAGAAAGCAGTGCTGGCATGTAGAGTTTAAGATAAAATTGTTCAGTTGAAAATAAAAGATAAGCAGCATGATTGAATGTGCTCTTTGCCTTTGCCAATGTGGGATTGAGAGAGAAGAATTTGGGTTTGCTCCAGACTAGGAAGTAGGAAGAAAGGAGCATTTGGTTGTTTTGGGTTTTTGTTTTTCTTTTTTGAGACAGAGTCTTGCTCTGTTGCCTGGGCTAGAGTACCATGGCGTCAGCCTAGCTCACAGCAACCTCAAACTCCTGGGCTCAAGCAGTCCTTCTGCTTTAGCCTTCTCAGTAGCTGGGACTACAGGCAATGTACCACCATGGCCGGCTAATTTTTTTTATATATTTTTAGTTGTCTAGCTAATTTCTTTCTGTTTTTAGTAGAGATGGGGTCTCGCTCTGGCTGAGGCTGGTCTCAAACTCCTGACCTTGAGCAATCCTCCTGCCTCAGCCTCCCAGAGTGCTAGGATTATAGGCATGTGCCAGCATCTTGGGGGGAGGGTCTATCTTTCAGTATTGCTGTTTGGGTGACTTTTCTGCTGCTGCCACAAAGTAAGTGGAATAGGACTTCTCTAAATCCCTTAGTGTGGGTTCGCTTTCCCCCTTGAATTCTCCCATGGCACTGCAGGTCTCTGGGTGTACATTTGGGATAATAAGGCAGGAAACAAGTGTGACATGCTATCTTGTCCCTCAGAGGGCCAGCCCTGGGGACCACCAGGTACAAGTGGGCATGCCATGTTGCTCTACATCTGGAAGCATCCTGTGGTCACAGCGCAGGATCCTGGCCTTCCCCAACTTCAGCCTTTAACCCGTGAGGAGGCTGGTGAATGGGATTCTGGAGTGTCACGTTCAGTGTCAGTTCATTTAAATCTGTGATTGATATTTTTTAGATGTTGATACGTTCAAATAACTTCCTTGAATTGTTTGTTTCTATTAGAATAAACAGAGGTTAACTTGTGTGTGGAAGACCTTTTAATTTCTTCAAATACGTTCTTAAAAACCTTTATGATGTGAGTTTTTAGTACACCTAAAACAAGAAATTGTTATAAAAATATTGAGTTCTTAAAAGTCTGCATTTTAGATAATGAAAAGTGGTGAAATGCTGAGGAGCCAGAGGAAAAAGTTTGAGTAATAACCCGATCCTGGTAAAATCATTCCAACAGGCCAAACTTCCCTGGGAGGGCCCTGGCCCTTATTCCTAGGCCAAACACTCTTTCCAGCGCCTGCCCGCCCTGCTCCGTGTACAGCGGTTCCCCGTGAGAGATGAGCTCACACTTGCTAATCCCTACGATTTCCCTCACAATCTGGGGGGGCCTGGCGTTGGGTTTCATAGTTAGTTTGTGATGAACTTTGCAAAGCTGTTGTTTTAGACCGCCTCTAATCCCTGTAGATTTGAAAACTGGACGTGACTTTGACCGCTGGTTTTATTCACCTGGCGAGTGTGCTTATGCAAACAGTTACTTTATTTTGAGTTTTTAGAGGATCATTCAACTCAGAGTTATTTGTGATAAACTATCCTAGGAATTTTCTTTATTGACTTTTAGAGTTTTAAAAATTTTGTCTGTTTACATGCTTCGGCAGCATGCATACTAAAATTGGAAGAATACAGAGATTAGCGTGGCCCCTGTGCAAGGATGACATGAAAATTCGTGAAGCATTCCATATGAAAAAATATATGTAATGACAAATTTTATCTGTTTAGGAAGGTGAGCCTTCTGGAAAGAGAAAAGCAGAAGATGATGAGAAAACAAATAAAAGGCATAAGAAGTATGTGATCAGTGATGAAGAGGAGGAAGATGATGATTGAAGTATGAAATGTGAAAACATTTTATATATTTTATTGTACAGTTATAAATATGTAAACATGAGTTATTTTGATTGAAATTAATTGATTTGCTTTTGTGTAATTTTAATTGTAATAAAAAAAATTTAAAAGCCAAGTCTCTGTGTGTTCAAGAAGTGGTTTTTCAAAAGCAAGTTGATTTTTTTTTAATATTTTATAGAGATGGGTTCTGTATTGCCCAGGCTGGTCTTGAACTCCTGGCCTGTGGAGATTCTCCTGCCTAGGCCTCCCAAAGTGCTGGGATTATAAGCGTGAGCCTATGTGCCTCATATCCAGTTGATTTTGCTAACACCTTACACAGAGTCTTAGGTTTTCTTGAGTTCCTGCTGCTCTGCCCTACCCCACTTCCTCCCACAAAGAAGCCTCTGGCCAGGGCCAGGATTCTCACAGTTCTAGAAACTTGAGAAATCAAGGTGTTGGCAGGGCCATGCTCCCTCTGAAGGCTCTTGGAAGGTATCCTTCCTTGCCTCTTCCTAGCTTCTGGTGGTTCCCAACAATCCTAATCCTTGGCTTATGACAGTACTGAAATCTCTGCGGCTGTCTTCAAGTGACCTATGTTCTCATGTGACTGTTCTGGGTCTCTGAGTGTCTCCAGGTCTCCCTCTGTTTCTAAGGACACTATTGATTTTAACTAGTTACCTGTAGAAAAGTCCCATTTCCAAATAAGATCGCATTCTGAGGTTATAGGTAGACATGAATTTTGAGGGTCACTATTCAACCTTCTATAATAATCATGATAAATATCACAGTACAATTTTTAGATATTTTTAATTGTCTTTTTTTTGAGACAGGATCTTGCTTTATTTCTGGGCTGCAGTGCAGTGGGGTCATTTACAGCTCACTGTAGCCTCAAATACCTGAGCTCAAGCGATCCTCCTGTCTCGGCCTCCCAAGTAGCTGGGACCACAGACACGCACAACCATACCTGGTTAATTTTTTTTTTTTTTTTTGGTAGAGATGAGGTCTCTCACTGTTGCCCAGGGTAATCTCAAACTCCTGGCCTCAAGCAATCCTCCTACCTCAGCTTCCCAAAGTTTTAGGATTACAGGTGTGAGCCACTGCACCTGGCCATGATACAAGTTTTAAGATATTATATTAATGTAGAATTGATGCAGAAAATCTGTGATGAACAAAATGTCAAAATTTTAAGTAAAGACAGGAGCTAACAGGTCTAGGATTAGGGTGGGGCAAGTAAGAAAAGTCATACAGGGGCAGAACTGGATTCTGTCTTTAAGATTTTGTTTATCATGAATTTTTTTGCATTAATTTTGATTTTTCTAAAATGTTGCATTACAATATTATTTATCTTGATTATTGAGATTTTGGTGCCCCTTGTATTTGCTAGCAAGGTGAGTGTCTCATTGTTGCAACCTAGGTGTGGCCCTGCTTTCTCAGAGCATGGTGGCTGGGTTCCAAAGGTGACCGCCCGGAGAGAGAGCACCAGGTGGAAGTGGTATATATTGTCTGTTTTTGTATTACCTTGTATGACCTAGCATCAAAAGTCACACAACCTGGCTTTCACCACATTCTATTTGTTAGAAGTGAGTCACTAATGCGAGCCCATTTTCAAAGGGAGGGAAATTTGATTCCTCTTGATGGGAGAAATGGCAAAGAATTTTCGGTTATGTTTCAAATCCACCACACACACATTTGCCTTCTCTGTGGTGCTCTTCCACATGCACTAATCTTGTCCTTACTTATAGCTTCTGCCTCTACTTACCTTCGACTCTACTTCCTTCCTGGTGCTGTTTAGTACACTCTAGGAGTGGTCGTTGTGGGAGGCCTACAACCACAATGAAGCCAGGTTATAGAGAAACAAAAGTGACTTCGAGAAAGGTCCTGAGTCACCATGTCATCACGTCACTTTCCTAACTCAAACATCTTCAATGCTTTGCTATTTCCTGGCTTATCAAATTGAAGCTCCTATGACTGGTTTTAAGTTCTGACCCCTTCCTTTCCAAGGCAACATGGTTTTTTTGTTGTTGTTGTGTTATTGTTGTTGTTTTTTTAAACTTTGCTAGTGGACACTTGTGTGTCGGTTATTAAACCCTTGTCTCCCATCTCCACAGCCGCCCTTGTGTGCCTGGCACCATGATGCCAGAGCCGAGACCCCACAACCCGGGTTTCAGCTTTGCCAGCTGCCCCCTGTTAGGGGGCGCTAGAGGAAGACCGGATGCCTGGATAACAAAGAAAGGATTGCTCCTTCCTGTTTGTTTATGGAACTTTCTGGGGGCTTCCTGTTGATTTGCATTTTCTATGAGGGGGCCACCAACACTTCACCCAGCAGAGGGGGTGCCTTTCTGCAGCAGCTGAGTCCAATTTGCAGTGTTATCAACACTTGGAGAGCCAGCTTCATTTCGCCCCTGAGAGCCATCAGACCAGCTGGACAGCTGCTCTTCCTCAGGTAGGAGCTGAAGCTCCCAGGGGCCCCTTAAGTAAGTTTTAAATTTTTAATAATTCCACCTCTTCCCTGTGTTCCCTCAGCCCTAGAGGTGGAAGTTGCTCTCTGCATTTGCTACCCCTGTGGTCCCTTAGAGTTCTTCTTTTTATACTTTGAGTAACCTAGCCAATAGCTTTAAACCTATTTACGACTTTTAGAAATGCTCCATCTGTACCGATGTGTTTTCTGTTTCCTGAGTAGATAGATGGTCAGGAAAAGAAATCCCCAAAGCTGGAATTTGGGGACTGGTTTGGGTTTGAATGTAGTCTGAGCTCCTCACCATTGGGAAATGGGACCCTGGTACTCCATGGTGTTTGCTGGTGTCGTGAATCAGATTATGTCGTGTGGTTGGGGGCGTTAGAGGCTGCTGCACTTGTCTGTTAGTAATCATGACTGGTGTGGACTGGATATTTCTGAGTGCCCTGGAGCTCTTACAGAAAGAAAATGACAGATCTTAAATGTTCATCTCAAGTCCTGGTTGGAGAACCAGTGAGCGTTCATGACAGCCCTAAAAGGTTCTCATATCTTGGAGCCACAGGGCTGAGGTAGCTGAAAGTCAAACAGCACTTAATTATGTGGTTACAGATTAATAACATCAATCGAGTTCACAGTCTCTATGAGTCTCTCATGTGAAAGTTAAGGCAACAATGGGGAAGGAAACAAGGAATGGGGATGTTATGGACAGAAAGTTTGTGTCCCCCTAAAATTAATATGTTGAAGCTCTAACCCACCCCACAATGTGATGGTGTTTGGGAGGCAGAGTCTTTGGGAGATAATAAGTAGAAGAGCAGAGACCAGAGCTCACTCTCTCCCCATGCAAACAGAGAAGAGGTCATGCGAACTCACAGCAAGATGGTGGCTGCCTACAAGCCAAGAGAAGAGGCCTCAGAATGAAGCCTACCTTGCTGGCACCTTGATCTTGGACTTCCCAGACATTGGAACTGTGAGAAATAAATTTCTATTGTTTAAGCTACGCATAACATTTTGTTATGACAGCCTGAGCAGACTAAAACAGGGGATCTCTGTTTGGACTCAGATGAGGCTGAAAAACTCAAATTTCCCAGTCACTCTGAGCCTCCCTTGTTGCCTGTGTCTGAGGAAACTAGTCCCTTTTTTTTTTTTTTTGCTTAAAAACACTATAATAACTTCACCTGGGGGTCAGTTCTCATTCTTCTCGACACTTACCCGACTGAGTGCTGTCTGACTCACGTTTTTACCAGTAGAGCCACCACGAGGATCTCATCATGCTCCAACAAGGCAAGCACAGAGTCTGAAGAAGTAGCTTATATATACCATAAGAATTATAAGATTTTGCTAATAAATATAGGCAGAAGCCTGGGGAATATGTGTGGAAGTGGATTCTAAGAATGTGAGAGGAAGGACAGAATATAACACTAGCTTGGGCCAAATTTATTTATATGGGTACATTTATATATTCTGGATATAATGTGTTAGAGCTATATTAATAGCTTTACATGGCTGTATACTTTGGTGGTTAACAAAACTCAATGGTAGCCTACATTTAATGAAGTTGAGAGGCCAAAGCTTCTCTGGCATTATGTGGAGGAGGGAATCCAAAGGCACAGGGAGACAGGAATGTTGGGGTAGACTTACGTTGTGTGACCTGCATACCACCCCCAAATTACAAACTACATTTCTTGATAGGGCCAAGTGACATTCCCTTCATTAGGACATTGAGAAACATAGTAAGGGAGGGACGTGTATCCTCCAAAAGCTGTAGGCAGGCATGAGAGGAGATGCTGCCATTGAGATGGGGTCCCAGAACAGAGGCCAAGGAGCAGTGTTTAAATGCCAGAGCCAAGATGATGGGGCTGTTACGAAAAAGTGCAGCAGGAATGTAGCAGGACAACAATCGGAATGTTTGGATCAGCAGAGATTTTTAGTGCTAGCCAATTGATCATAGTGTCCCTAGGAATAGAATAGATGGGCAGGCTACCAAAGTAGAGCTTCATCTGTGTAATTGTATTATTTGGGGCAGTTCTTCAGGATCCTTCCTCATGGGGACCCAGTCTCCCCTTCCATTATATCAACATCCTCCTGAGGAAGGATCCTGAAGCACTGCTACAATCATATATGGTAAATCTTCCTGCAAGTCTCTCCCAGAGGAAGCCAGCCATTTGCTAGAGGGGCTATGCACTGGGGAGAGGAAATTCGCAGAATTTGGGGGATTTCTAGATACTGGCTCAGTTGATGTTCATTCCTAGAAGCTGAAATACAACAGTGGCCCACCAGTCAGAGTGGGGGCTAGTGGTGGTCAGGTGATAGGGTTAGTTTTAGCTCAAGTTCAACTCACACTATGCCCAGAAGATTTGCACATCCACCTTATGATTACTTCTCCAGTTCTTTTTTAAAAAAATTTTTATTATTTTTATTTTTTAAAATCTTTGTAGAAACAGGGTCTCACTATGTTGCCCAGGCTGATCTCGAACTCCTGGCCTCAAGCGATCCTCCTGCTTCAGCCTCCCAAAGTGCTGGGATTACAGGTGTGAGCCACTGCACCCAGCCTCCCCAGTGTGTAATTATATGAAAATTGGAATAGATACATTTTGTCAACTGAGGGATTTCCCCTTGCTGTCTTTCTGATCCATGAAATAAACACCATTATGGTAGGAGGGACCAAGTGGAAGTCCCTGGAACTTCTTTTTCTTACTAGGATAATAAACCAGAAACAACACTGCAGCCTGGAGGGAACTGCAGAGATGAATGACACCATCAAAGATTTGAAAGAAGCTGAGGTGATAACGTCTCTGACATCCTCCATTGGTCTCACCAGTTTGACCTGGGCAGATGGCAGACTGACCTTGGAAATGACGAGTTATCTTAAACCTAATCAGGTGATGACTCCAAAAGCAGCTGGTATTTCGTGTTAGTGTGTTTACTGGAGCAAATTAACAGCCACTGACACCTGGTAGACAACTGTTTACCTGACAAATGCTTTTTTCTCCATGTTGACATGTAAGGACAGACAGAAACCGTTTGCTTTTACTTGTTAGCCCAATGGCACAACCTGGGCCTTGTCTCCGAGCTACATGGACTCACCTGCACTCTGCCATAAAGGAGTCCACAGAGATCTTGAGCATCTTGACATTGCACGGATCACACTGGTCCACTGCGTCAACGACATCATGCTGATTGGATCTGATGAGCAGGAAATAGCAAGTACTATACTTCAGATGCCTTAGTAATTAGCATGCAAACCAGAGGATGGGAGATAAAGCCCATCAATACTCAGGCATTTGCCACCGCATTGAAGTTTCTGGGGGCCGACGAATGGTCTGGAGCATGTCTGGATATCCCCTCCAAAATGAAGCATAAGATGCTGCACTTTGAACCACTTGCCATTACAGAAGAATGTTTGGTGGATATTTTTGGATTTGGGAGCCAATGTGCACTTTATTTTATTGTGCAACTTGGACCTTTTGCCAAGTAAGGCATAGATGCTGCCTGTTTTGAGTGAGGACCAGAGTAAAAGAATGTTTTTGCACTAAGTCTAGGCTGCAGGACAAACTTCTCCTCCACTTGGGCCTAATAACCCAGCAGACCAATGATGCTTGAAGAGTCTGTGGCAAATGCCACTGCTGTGTGAACCCTCTGGCCAGTATCAGTAAGAGAACTGAGTGTAGGCCTCTTGGGATTTGGAACATACCCATGCCCTCTTTCGTAGATAACCCCTTTTGAGAAACAACTACTGGCTTGCTTCTGAACACCTACTCATGGGACATCCAGTAACCAGCCAGCCTGAGCTTCACACCATGACCTGGGTGTTTTCTGTCCCATCAGCCATAGGGTTGGGCCTATGGGTGGTGATCTAGCACCAGTCTATCATCTGGGCACAACCAGCTCCAGAAGGCAGGAGGAAGTTTCTTGAGTAGATGGCTGAGACTCCTGCTGAATTGCTTCTTCTGTCTCCTTCTCCAAAAGCAAGAAGCCAACCCAATCAACGCGTCAATTCATGAGTGGATTGTTAAAATTTGGTATATGTTTACAGTGGAATATTACTCAATTCTAAGAAACGACAGCAAGCTAGCATCGTTTATAATATCCTGGATTGAGCTTAAGCCCATTATCCAAAGTGAGGTGACAGATGATCAGAATAATGGGCTCCATATGTACTCGCCACCAAATTGGTACTGACTGGTTAACACTACGGTGCTCAAAGGGTGGTGGTGTTCCTCAGGGATTCGGAGGTTGGAGGGGTAGTCCCACATCTGTGGAATGGGGTGAACATTGTGGCAGGGAAGGGCATACCTCTAACCCTTGCTAGGGAGAGGCAGAGATATAAAATGTAACCAAAGTGTTAAGAAAGAAAGAAAAACGAACATTTGTCGGGTGTGTGGCAGGTGGGAGGGGGAGGAGGGGTGGGCATATACATACATAAGAGGGTGATGTGCACCGTCTGGGGGATGGACACGTTTGAAACTCTGCCTCAAGGGGGGAGGGCAGACAAGGGCAGTGTATGTAACCGTAACGATTGTACCCCCATAATATACTGAAATTAAAAAAAAAAAAAGCAAGAAGCCTGGCTCATTATCCTCAATATACTTAGTCATTGGTTCAGTCCCCCATATGCAAACAAAATGACTACGGATATCTGCTCAGCTCTGGCCACCCATGCACGGCAGCCAAGCAGACCAAGTTCCCATTTAATATGTAGCTCAAAAAGCTCTACTCATATTGAGAATTTAAAAGATTGCAGTACTCGATGGTTCGAGAAAGGAGCAGCAACTCTACAGACACTTGAAGAAAACACGCAAGAAACTCAAAGGGAATGACATGGACATATTAAGCACTCAGGTGTCAAGTGATTGAACATTTAATACAAATGTGGGTAAATGTGGACAAAACGGGCTTCTGTGAATATTCCCCTCACAGAGAAGATGCGTGCAGTGTCAGGACTGGTCCTGAACAGCACTGTTGTCAGATACTAGTAAGGACGCTTTCTGTTTTGGTTCAAAATTTTGCTCCTTTGTTGCTGTGTATTTCAGCAGGAAGCCCTGGCAGCGGTTGGTTAACAGATGTGTTTGTTTAAGAGCCACAATCACATTTGAAGCTACTGTCAAATCTACTTTGTGACAACCTGGGGGATTACAAGAGGAAAGCATCAGCATAACTCCTTTGCAGGAGATGTGGTTTTTTTCTTAGACTTTATAAAACGGTGCAAATTACTCATCTGGCTGGCATTGCTACTGGTACATTGCACTTACGGACTTACACACGTTAATTGGGAAAATAGTTCTAAGCCATGGTAGCTTTTCATGTTCTAGAGATTCACATATTTTGGCCCTGGCTCTTGATTTAACAGGATAAGTTTCTTTTGTATACTTAGGCTCTCTTGAGGATGCATCATTTTTAAAAAGCCAACAATTTAGGAAAGATTTATAACATTTTTACAGAATTCTTAGGTTTTTCGAAGGAGAGATACTAGTAAAATTTCTCTAAAGAATATATCACAAGCCTGTCATGTGTTAATTGATTTGTTGAAGGAAAAGAAAGGCCCATTTATTGATTAAGTGTGCCTAGCTATCAAAACCTAGTGAGTCCATATGGAATTGGAGGTTTTTCTTTTGAAAGGTTTTTAACTATAAATTCAGTTTCTTTAATAGACATAAGACTGCGTTTATCAAACAGGTTGTCTGTTTCTTTTTGAGTGAATTTTGGTAGTTTGTGATGTTTAAAAAATTGGATCACTTAGTCTAAGTTATTGAATTTATGTGTATACAATTATTTGTATTATTCCCTTATTATTCTTTTAATATCTGTGGATTCTATGGTGATATCCTCTCTTTTATTTATGATGTTTATAATTTGTGCTTTCTCATTTTTTTTTTTAGTCTGGCTAGAGGTTTATCAATAATAACATAAAGATCTCAGAGAACCAACTTTTGGTTTCATTGATTTTCTGTATTGTTTTTCTATTTTAAGTTTCATTGGTTTTTTTATTTTTATTTTTTGCTGTTTATTCTTTCCTCCTTTGACTTGTTTTGGCTTTCTTTTGCTCTTCTTTTTCTATTTCCTTAAGATAGATGCTTCAATTATTGATTTGAGATATTTATTCTTTTCCCAAATAAATATTTAATGCTATAAATTTCCAAGGACTTTTCACTGCATCCCACAAATGTTGATATTTTATATTTTTGTTTTTATTTAAAATTTTTTTTAAATTTTATTGATACTACCCCTTTGATCCATGGATTATTTAGAAGTACTTTGTTTAATTTCCAAGTACTTGGAGATTTTCCAGTTATCTTTCTGACACCCATTTCTAATGTAATTGCATTATCATCAGAGAACATATTTTGCATGGTTTCAGTTGTTAAAATTTTGTTAAGTATTGTTTTATGAATTAGGATATGTTCCAGATGTGGGATTTGATTTTACCCTATTATAAGCTGTTAAATTAGGCTGTTAATATTTCATGGCTGCTAGCATTAGTATATACATGTAATTAGTCATAAATAATAAGCCCCTCATCTCAATAGCCATAGTAGCATTATTTTTGCCTTGCTGAAGTGGGCGTTTAGAGGAACCACTAGAAAGGCAAGGAGTCTCGGAGCAGTGATTGTGTGGATAGACTTCAGAGTCAGGTGACCTTTTTGCTGTTTCCCTTCCTGTGTGGCTTTGGACCAGTTAATAACCACTCAGAATCCTTGGTCTGCCAAATGAAGAATAGACTACTTCAGGTGACTATTTCATGTAGGCTGAGAAAGTTCAGCAAGGAGATTTAAGGGAAATTCTTTAGACCCTTTATTATAGTCATGTGTAAATACTCACCTTTATGAAGATGAATGGGGAGGCGGAGGGCTGATCATGGCACGAGTAATGTTGAAGGACCTGGGACCACATAAATGTTCATAACTGATAAAAATCAAGTTAAAATAACTATCTTTAAAGTTCTCAGATTATTCTTGGAAAAAAAGAAGAATATTTATTTAAGATAAATATTTAAAATAATATATTAAAAAATAATAAAAAAAACTATCTAGTAATTCATGTTAGATCTGAAGGAATTGATAATTCAAAACAGAAAGTCTTGTTACTGGTGGTGGTGGTTTACTACTGATGGAACGAATAATGAGCGTCTCGGGTCTCTAACATCCACTGTGGCTTCGCTTCCTTTCCCCCTGCCAGCCTCTTGCCTGGGTCACTGACACAGTCCTTTAGGGTATTTGGTTTCTAGAGATCATTTTTGACTACACCTTGCTGGTGTTCTGGGCTGAGAGAATGTGTGGGGGGGCCAGTATGGATCTGTAATTTTGAAGCCTATATTATTAAGTAGAGGACAGACCCGTGGGGAGAGCTCAAGTCTCAACTTGGAGTATCCAGAGACTGTCAGAGGTCATTTGGGATCCTGGGCAATAAACAGAAGTGGGAGAACAGGGACAGCAGAGAAAAGAAGGGAGGAAGTGCCTCCTGGGGAATGTATTAGTCATGCATTGCTGCGTAACAAACCAGCCCCTAACTCGGCAGCTTGAAACAACATTTAATACACACACAGATGCTGAGGTCAGGAACTCAGGAATGGCTTGGCGGGGTGGTTCTAGCTCAGGGTCTCGCACAGGCTGAGGTCCAGGCGAGGCTGACAGTACGTTATCTAAAGGCTGAAGGACCTGTCTCCTAGATGGCTCACGTGGCTCTTGGCAGAGGCTTCAGTTTCCCACCACGTGGGCCTCTCCATGGGCGGCAGTTTGAGTGCCCTCTCAGCCCAGCTGGCTTCCGCCGGAGCAAGTGACCCAAGAGAGAAAGGACAAGGCAGAAAAGCCACAGTGTCCCTCACGGCCTCCCCTCAGGATTGAGGTTGTATTCCATCGATCACATAAACCAGCTGTGACACAGTGCTGGAGCACGACACACAATGGCACGGAAACACTGGGACCTGTCTTGAAAGCTCTGCCTTTCACCAACCAATTTTGCCTTTCTAGTGGCAAACTAGTCAGGCTTCGGCGGGCCGGGCGCAGGGAGCTAGTTTGAGGTCAGTTTAATGAAGAATTGGCTCATGAATCTCGGAAATATGTTGAAGTGGTGAGCCAAGAACTAACTGTGCAAAGAACTTTAGAGAAATTAATACTGTGCATTCTCCCCCGCCCCCCACATTGACAATTATAGCACGACCATGGATCTGTTTGGAGACATAGATGACATTTCTTCAGAGAGTGACGAGGACAATCTACTACCTACCCCAGGAGAACCTGTTGTAAGTAAAACCACTCATCTCAACCGATCCCACTATTCAAAGCTAAGGCGAGTTTCAGAGGCTGATGAGTCTCTCTCACATTGACAGGGGACATGGATAACTGAACATCTGATGAGTGGGTGACTTTGTTAGCTGTATTGGGAATTTCTAGATATAAGAAAGCCCAGAAGGAACTGCTCAGAAGGAGGTTGATGCCAAGCTTTAGGGCCTGGACTGTGAGGAGGCATAATGTGAAACCTCTGATTTAAAGGTTTTCTTATTCGAACCTGTGTGGTGAAGCCTGGGCTATGTCAATGTTCTTCTCTGGTTTGAACAGTTGCTTTGAATTGATGGGCTGAATGATCTCACACTTCTTTTGCTGAGTATATCATGCAAAATAGATAAGTTGACAAAATAGATACCTTTTCTAGTAATGCAGGCAAACAGGCCTTGTTTCCTATGGGTTTTTTGTTTGTTCGTTTGTTTGTTTTGGCTTTGTGTGTGTAAAAAGGTGAGGTTTTAGGGAGAGGCATGGAAGGGTTGTTGACTGTTTTGTCCCTAAAGTGGTATCTAAATTTACTACCTGTCAAACCTGCATCTGCCTAGTATAGGAAGAGTAACCCTAGAACATTTCTTGTAGCTTTTCACGTTCTCATTTCTCTCTTAGGATGACTGTGGAGTGCCCCATGACCAGCAGGAGGAAGAGCCCATTTCTGAAACCACAATGGAAATAGAAATTCCCAGTATCAATTCTGATTTAGGAAATGAATTGTATTTTGTTAAACTACCCAAGTTTCTCAGCATAGAACCCAAGTAAGAGTACTAATTAAAAATTTTAAGATATTGAATAAAAATATGTAGAATGTAAATATTTTTTCTTATCATGAGTTGACTAAGCACAAAGATAGGAGATTTCTTACATAACTCTGAAAAAAATAAATTTAGGCTGTACTGTGTTAGAAAATGAATTTACTGGTGAGAGAGAACTTCAATGCTAATTATTTTTCTAGCATTTTGGTACTTTCTTTTAAATGAACAGATCACAACTGATGAATGTGTTTTTTCACTAGTATAAAGCTGAAAAATCATAAAATGAGAGTGAGAAAGTTTGCTAGAAAGTTTGCACTGAAATCACAGATTTTCAGTGCAAAAGCCATTGTGAATCTAGAAAAGAAAATGATTTTGGACAACAAAATAGTGTCAAGTATCATTCACTAAGGCACATGCATGCAAACTTTTGTGCAATTAAACATGACATGTTTTCTAAAAAAATATGTAAAGATAGACCATATGTCAGCTATACTTTAGAAGACATTTCATCAAGGAAGATTTTGAATTATTGGTCACATTTGGAGTTTATTTCATAAACATATTTCATATGTTTTAAGAACAAATTTTAAGAAAGTAATTTGCATACTTCTTTGAAGGTTTACATGAAGTTATTTGTCTACTGTGGCTTTTAGAAACATATTGGTGTATGCTATAGAGATAATTTATAGTATGAAACATATTCGTTATGGCTAATATGACATTAAATATGTCAAAATTAGCCAAATATGGCTAATATGACATTAAATATGTCAAAATTAGCCAAATATGGCTAATATGACATTAAAAACAATTTTTAGACCTTTTGATCCTCAGTTTTATGAAGATGAATTTGAAGATGAGAAAGTGCTGGATGAGGAAGACAGAACCAGATTGAAATTAAAGGTACCCTCCTATGCGCTATTCCTTTTTTTCTTTTGATTTTTTCCTTTTATAAAGTAAAACACAGGGATGACAACTTGACACCTGAACTTATGAAAACGATCCTTTATGTTTCCTGTTCAATCAACAAATAGCTCTTTAGACTGAGGAATTAAACGTCTTTTCAGAATATTTTTAGGGGAGAAGATTTTTTTATCCCTGTAGAGTTGTCTTGCCTTACTTTTTTTTTTTTGCAATTGTAATTTTTTGACAGAAGTAAAGATAAAAATTCTTGAAAATTGTTAACTACTTCATTATTATAAATAACAATGCAGCAAGGTATATGAAACTGCCTCTGTTTTATAGTGGGTTGATCCTAGCAACTTCTGACCATAGAAATGTCTCAGGCACTTTATGGATATTCTAATAATGCACAAAAAGAGACTTTGTTATTAGGTGGTTCCTCTCTAGACAGCCTAGGATGGCAAAATACTACTATCGCTCACACGAGGATGTTGTCTCTCTTAACAGGGTTTCCTATAAGCTTCTGCCAGGAGCCCCAGTGGTAGCACTGGGCAGGGTCAACTTTTATCTCACTTTTGTGACTTTGGAGTTCCCTGCTATATAGGTAGAGTAAATTTGGACTCAAAAACAGGGCAAAGCACAGGTCTCAGGTTTTAATTTGTTGTTAACTGGTTATTATTTTTTAAAAATTTAAATGTCATGCCAAGGGTGTCCCTGTCTCATAGCCCTTCAAGTGGCACTATGAAACATAAAAATGTTTCATTAAAGAATTGTCAAAATTTAGGGCTGTGGCATTACCTAGGAAAACCAGAGGGAAATTGGAAGGGTTGAGGTCACACAGCTATGTTGGTAGGAGACTTTACAAGTGGACCCAAGATGTGATCAAAGCCACTTTATCTCCATTATCGATGTGATAATCGGGGCAGAAGTCTCAATTTTAATTGCTTACCCCGTGTCCCTTAGTGTGTCTGATAACACCTTGGCCTGCATCCTACTTAGCTTCTGTTTCCACTGCTATGAACGGGAGCTCAGAGAAGGTGTAAACAAAATATCTGGTTAGTTCAGCCAATATCTCCAGGTATTTGAAGGGTTTCAGTGTTGCAGGATCAGCTATTTTTTTGTAAGCTGATTCTATCACTGCCCATCAATTCATGGCACATGATCATAAATCGCTTGAGGAACAAAGAACATTTAGTGAGTTAAATTGGTTTTCTAATGCCTTTGTGTTCTGAACTAGGTAGAAAATACTATACGGTGGAGGGTTCGCCGGGATGAGGAAGGAAATAAAATTAAAGAAAGCAATGCTCGGATAGTCAAGTGGTCAGACGGAAGGTGAGCACAAAATGCCTGAAGAGTATGGACATACCCAGAGGGAGGTCTGGGATGAGTGATGCTTTCTGTGTAGGACCTTATTTTGGGGTAAACATGTTTTACTAAAGAATTGTCAAATTTTAGAGCTGTGGCATAACCTAGGAAAACCCGAGGGAAGTTGGTAGGGTTGAGGTCACACAGCTATGCTGGTGGGAGATTTTACAAGTGGACCCAAGATGTGATCAAAGCCATTTTATCTCCATTATCGATGTGAAAGACTAAGGTTAGCTCCCATTGGTGAGGGTGCGATACTGGACATTAGAAATGGATATTTTTGAAAAATCGTTTGTTTTGCTAATGAGGAGGTAGAGATTGGGAAAATGAGAAAACAATTATATTTCAAGTTGAAAAGAGGATAGATTTCACCACTTTTTACTTTGAAGGGAGATAGGTTACTCACAGCACCCTTTCTGGTTTTCTTACGAGTTCGGTATGAGGACAGGATCCTGCAGGCCCACGCAATTTTAAGTAAAGCTAAAGGGATAGAATGGAAGCTGTAGGAGTCAGTAAATATCCACCCTAATACCTGAACTGTTTCTCATTTCCAGCATGTCCCTGCACTTAGGCAATGAAGTGTTTGATGTCTACAGAGCCCCACTGCAGGGCAATCACGACCACTTGTTTGTAAGAGAAGACACTGGTCTACAGGGACAAGCTGTCTTTAAATCCAAACTTACCTTTAGGTAACTATTCGAATGGACACGTGATGACTTGCAGTTAAGGAGCCACAAAGGGCCGACTCTCTTGATTGACATAATTTCATAGTCTGGTTTGGATACACTTTTATCATGTTTACTACAAGTTGATATTTCTTAGGGAGCCAGTTCACACTGTCAAAATTCACAGGAGACTATTTATTACCCAGAAGACTGCTGCATTAACCCACACTGATTGATCAGTGCACTGGGCAAGAGGCCTAGCAGACTTGCCTTCAATTGCTCTGTGGTCCTTTCTCGTGAGAGAAGTTGCCCTGGGAAGCTAAGCCACCTCAGATGGTGTTGGCATGTGCCTGCGACAGAGAACAGACGTGACCTGCGGCGCTTCCCCCCTCCCCCGAGGCCGCTGGTTCCCTGGGCCGGCTGAGCTCACTCACTGCTCTGGCCCCTTCCCCACACCTCGCCTCCAAAGGACACTGGACTATTGATCAGGAGTCGGCTTTCCTAGAGAGCTGGAGCATTTAAAAGATGAGGGTCCTTTTGAGGGTCATGGAAGTATGCTAAAATCAGCGTGTGGTCATGGTTTTACCACTTTGTAAATAAAAATTGTTTGACTGTGTACTTAAAATGAATGAATGTTATGGTATGTGAATTATACTAAGTAAATGTTAGTTTTTTTCCCTCTTTTTTTTTTTGAGACAGAGTCTCACTGTGTTATCCTGGCTAGAGTGCCGTGGCATCAGCCTACCTCACAGCAACCTCAAACTCCTGGGCTCAAGTGATCCTCCTGCCTCAGCCTCCCGAGTAGCTAGAACTCCAGGCATGTGCCATCATGCCTGGCTAATTTTTTATATATGTACATATATATATATATTTTAGTTGTCCAGCTAATTTCTTTCTATTTTTAGTAGAGACGAGGTCTGGATCTTTCTCAGGCTGGTCTTGAACTCCTGAGCTCAAACAATCCGCCCGTCTCAGCCTCCCAGAGTACTAGGATTACAGGCATGAGCCATGGCGCCTGGCCTGTTAGTCTTTTTAAAAGTTGTAAGAGACAACCCTGAGGTTGTGTGTCTTGAGGAAGGGTCTCAATCTCACTGATTTCTGGTTCATCTACCTCACAGGGATGGTGAATCAATTCAGTGAAACAACACATAAAACGTCATGCCCAATTCAGCCTCGTAATGATCTCTTCTAGCATGGCATCCTGAAAGACGTGCAGTTCTGCGCTTGCCTTTTCTCATCACACCCCATGCCCCACTGTGGGATATATATATGCTCGGCACAAGTTCATTCCTTATGTCGCCTCTCTCTGTGGCCATGCTGTCTCCTTCAGGGACCCTCTCCCAAGGATCATCTTTCCTTCTCAAGTACTTAATTCAAAGCTGCCCTCCTTCCCACAGAAGGCATTTCCTGGAGTATTGTCCCCATGGGCTGTTAGGAGGCCCCTGCTGCTATGGTGGCCTGCCTCCTTGCTTTGAATCCCTTCTCGCTTTTTCCAGATAGAGGGACTCATCTTTAGTTCTCAAATGGTGTCCTCTGGCACCTGCACCCCCCTCTCTGAATGAGATGTCACATTCCTTCTCTCCTCCCCATGGTTGCAGTCTAGAGCAGTCTTTGTAAAAGCCTTGGACCTCACAACCCGGGAAGGTGGGGCAGAGGGAGGAGCTGCCCAGGGAGCCCGGAATGAAGGACTGTGGTCCCACCTCCTCGCTCTGCCGATGGGGAGGTCACCCTTATCCACAGGTGCTTTTGCTTTTGGTATGATTGCCTCCACATGTTCTTAAACAGTGAGACATTTTTGTCCATTGCCTGCAGACCTCACTCTACCGACAGTGCTACCCACAGAAAGATGACCCTGCCACTTGCTAAGAGAAGTTCAAAGACACAGAAAATTAGGATCTTACCAATGGCTAGTTGCGATCCTGAATGCCCTCGCGCAGACATGGTGAAGGTACATTTGCTAAACTTTATCCTGGCATATTTTGGGTATTCAGGCCTGTGTTTTCCAGAATATTCATTTACCATTTCTTATTGCGATCCCGAATGCCCTCGCGCAGACATGGTGAAGGTACATTTGCTAAACTTTATCCTGGCATATTTTGGGTATTCAGGCCTGTGTTTTCCAGAATATTCATTTACCATTTCTTATTGCCACTGCTATTTTATTTCTTGTTTATCAGGGAACCAGCTTAACCTTCTAAGTGTGTAGTTAACCACAGTCATGAGAATGGCTGCTGGCGAGATTACAGCAAAGGACTCAGATGCTCTCCCTCTATGAGATTTTTTTCTTTAAAAACTTATAATGAAAAGGAGCCATCACGGGAGCCTGGGCAGGTCAGGTGTCCGGATCAGGGACGGACAGAAATAGCCTCTGCTGCCCCAGGGCATCAGTCCAGCCTGGCCGCTTCTCCCTGGGCAGTGAGTGGCCGCACAGAGGAGAGGCAGCTCCCAAGGACACACCTGTGCCAGTTCTGATCGGGCTGGTCAGTGTGAGGAACCCCTTCTGCCTCCTCACCCTTGTCTTGCCTACACACCTTCAAACCAAACCACGCGATCCGTGGGTGTGGTATGACACAGGGGATGGCTGTTGTCCTGGACTGGGCATTACACGTTCTTTACGGCAAAAGTGGGTTCAAGTGGGCATGAAATTAGTTCCTTTTTTAAGTTGATGGGTTTATCTGCTTTACAGAAAGAAGAGCGCTGGAGGGCTTCCACCCACCCGGAGTCTCAGACAAGCCACCTTCTGGAGAAGCAGAACCAGCAGGGGCTGAGCGCCCCCTACCAGGACCCTGGCAGTGACGATGAGGAGGAGGAAGGCGAGGACACCTTCAGCCTGGCCGACATCAAAAACTATTACCAAGGGGAACCCCCAGGTGAGTTGGGTGTGGAGGTCACATCTCAACATTCGTGCTTTGCTCTGGTGAGTTCTTGCTCCTTGCTCTACTGTAATTTACTTAGGAAAACCGTACAAAAGTTTTTTTTGTTTGTTTGTTTTGCTTAGGACCACTCTCCTACAGAAAAGGTTAGCTGTGAAAATAAGGCACTCCCAAAATAAGATCAGTTACATAATTTATGTCCTTGTGGAGGAAAATGTGTAACAGACACTTCCCTGGCTTGCATTAATTAAGAACCCAATATCTAAGCTTCATACTTCTTTAAAATGATGTGTGCATGAAGCTTCTTAAGTATTTAAAAGTGATCAGATAACCTCCCTGAGAACAAAACCTCTCAAATCTAAGTCATCCCATCATGTCTGAAAGTGGCATTCACCTTCCCACTGAAACTTGTTGGCTCCTCCAGGAAAAATGTGCAGTGGGAAGTAACAATATTCAGCAAAGGAAAATTCAAGAATGAACAGGTCAGCATCTCTGAAGGTCAATCCCAGGTCTAAAATTCCTTTCCTTTCAGAGGAACGAGCCAGAATCTCTTCCTCAGACAGTGATGAGGGAGCAGAAGAAGATAAGGCTCAAAGATTACTCAAAGCAAAGCAGCTCACCAGTGACGAGGTGAGACCAGATGTATTCAATTCCAGGGGTTGACCCTGGACCCAGGAGCCAACTCCTGGGAATGAGCGGGAGGGTAGACAAGTGTCTCCAGAATTCAGTGAGATGAATGCAGTAATAGGAGTAGGAGTGGCCCAGAGGAGGGTCCAATACCTGTGTGGGTCTTGGAAGGCAGCACAGAGGAGGAGACCTCTATTGCGTGTTGAAGGATGAACAGAAGCCTGAAAGCACGCAGGCCAGGGTGGACCTCGCCAGTAGATGGAGAGGCCTGTGAGGAAAGGCACAGGGCCTGAGACAGCAAGTCTCGGCTAGAGAACTACAGACGGTTCAGTGTGGGCAGAGCAAGGGGTGCGTCATGTTCACTGCGTGGGGAACTGGGTATCTTCATTGTCTGGATATGATAGCTGAGAGTTAATTCATTTCCATGTTATCAAAGTATTTTTCCTTCTCTCCTTATAAGATCACAGGTACAAAGAAATTTCAAGTCTCAGTTATATGAGGGAAGCACTATGTGACTGCCCATAGGCCACATTCATTCATTCAGTGTTTTCTGAACACTTACACTTCATGGTTCTAGAGACAGATAGAAATAAACATTGCAGGCACATAAATGTTTAATTAAACATTGGTCACTTGTACGTTCATTTGTTTCTTTCTGTCTACGCAACACACATATACAGGTACAGTCGTCCCTCGGCATCTGCGGGGAAATGGTTCCAGGACCCTCCAGGACACTGAAATCCTTGTGTGCTCAAGTCCCCTTACATAAAACAGCACAGTATTTGCATATAACCTACATACATCCTCCCGTATACTTTATTTTTTTTGATACAGAGTCTCGCTTTGTTGCCCAGGCTAGAGTGAGTGCCGTGGCGTCAGCCTAGCTCACAGCAACCTCAAACTCCTGGGCTCAAGCAATCCTGCTGTCTCAGCCTCCCAAGTAGCTGGGACTACAGGCATGCACCACCATGCCCGGCTAATTTTTTCAATTTATAGTAGAGACAGGGTCTCACTCTTGCTCAGGCTGGTTTCGAACTCCTGACTTCGAGCAATCCACCCGCCTTAGCCTCCCAGAGTGCTAGGATTACAGGCGAGAGCCACCGTGCCCGGCCCTCCCGTATACTTTAATCTTTAGATGACTTATAATACCAAACACAATGTAAATGCTATGTAAATAGTTGTTATATACATTTTTTAACATCTGTATTATTTTTTGTTTTATTCAAAGATTTTTGATCCATGTCTGGTTGAATCCACAGATGCAGTTGCCCAAATGTACTGAACATTAAGATGGAGAAAATAAGTACTAAGGAAATAGGGGGACATATTTCAAGTAACTATGATAGGAATGCCAGTCAGTCTAGAATGCAAAGTGTCCCTCCGGCCCTGACCACTGCCCAGGGGAAACGCAGGTTCCAGTTGTCTGATCTCCTAGGAACAGTGTCTGTGAGGACTCAGGTCGGCTGCTCACGGGGGGTCAAGTTCTACCGTGAAGAGCTGGCTTCCCCAGTGTCAGCTGAAAACCACTTTAGAAAAAATTTCCAGAAACGTTTTAAATTGAATTTTACATCTTATCTCTCATATCTGTTCAGGAGGAGAATCTTCCCGAAAGAGGAAAGCAGGGGGTGAAGAGGAAGAAGACGATATAAGCCCCTAAAATGTGCACTCGTTGTATATAGTATTCAACAGTTTTAAAACAATGATGAAATGACTTGTTTTGATGGAAATGAATTACTTCTGCATAATCCTAGTTGTGAATAAAAAGTTTTCAAAAGCAAGTCTGTGACTTTTGAAAATCCAATTTTCCCCAATGGAGATTATTTTGGTAACTGCTCAGGGTGGGTCTCAGGTTTTAGCGCATTCCTGCTTCTTTGCCCCGCTCGCTGACTTCCTGGTCTGGCGCAGAGGTCCCCTGAAGTTCAGCTCATGGGGCTCCCTCTGGGATGTTCTCCCTGTCCTGCTGAGCTGGGTTCTGGGCCCTCTTGTGCTCTGTAGTCCCCTTGGCATGGCGTTAGTTCCCCTTTCGACATGGCACTGTGCTCTCAGAAGAGTGGGTACAGCAGGGTGCTGCGTGCTTTGATGGGTGGGTGCCGCATGGGCATTACCCATTCCAATCCTCAGAACTCCTGCGGGACAGGTGCTGTTATACCCCTTTTACAGATGTGGAAGCAGAGGTTTAAAGAGCTTAAGATCTCTGTACAAAGCCTTTTCTCCTCGAGTAAACAAACTTTTTTGAGACAAGGCATAGGATCTTACATGCAATCACATGCGGAGCAGATACTTTACTGACATAATGGAGACGGAGACCCACAATATCTACCCGAGGTATAAACGGACACCAGTTAAGTTTAGGGAAGAAAGCAAGGGGAAACAAATGCTGGAATTGACTTCTAGCTTTGTGACTGCTACAGTAGCTGGAACGTAACAGGCACCTAGTAAATATTTATCGAATGAACAAACCAATGGTGCTATCTTGGGCAAATCACTTAACTTCTCTGACATCAGGTTGCTCAACTCGGTGGGGTTTAGGCTTGACTACATCAATCTTCCTTCTGAGAGTTGAATACTTGATTTTTTTTTTTTTTTTTTTGAGACAGAGTCTCGCTTTGTTGCCCAGGCTAGAGTGAGTGCCGTGGCGTCAGCCTGGCTCACAGCAACCTCAAGCTCCTGGGCTCAAGCGATACTTCTGCCTCAGCCTCCCGAGTAGCTGTGACTACAGGCATGTGCCACTATGCCCGGTTAATTTTTTGTATATATATTTTTAGTTGGCCAATTAATTTCTTTCTATTTTTAGTAAAGAAGGGGTCTTGCTCAGGCTGGTTTCGAACTCCTGACCTTGAGCGATCCTCCTGCCTTGGCCTCCCGAGTAGCTGGGACTACAGGCATCTGCCACCATGCCCGGCTAATTTTTTTCTATATATATTAGTTGGGCAATTAATTTCTTTCTATTTATAGTAGAGATGGGGTCTCGCTCTTGCTCAGGCAGGTTTTGAACGCCTGACCTCGAGCAATCCACCCACCTCAGCCTCCCAGCCACCACGCCCGGCCTTGATTTTTTTTTTTTTGAGACAGAGTCTCATTTTGTTGCCCAGGCTAGAAAGAGTGCTGTGGCGTCTACCTAGCTCACAGCAACCTCAATCTCCTGGGCTCAAGTGATCCTCCTTCCTCAGCCTCCCGAGTAGTTGGGACTACAGGCATGTATGTACCACCATGCCTGGCTAATTTTTTGTATATATATATTTTTTAGTTGGTCAATTAATTTCTTTCTATTTTTAGTAGAGACGGGGTCTCGCTCAGGGTGGTTTCGAACTCCTGACCTCAAGCAATCTGCCCACCTCGGTCTCCCAGAGTGCTAGGATTACAGGCGTGAGCCACCATGCCCGGCCTGAATACTTGATATATTTTAAAAATATTTTGTTAAATAGAAATGATCAATGGCCTTTCTCACCATGCAGAAAACCCTGATAGATTCTACTTCCTTCCCTTTTACTAACAGCATAACTTCATGGTTGTAAACACTTTCATAATTTGCATCAGGTCCTGAAAGAGAATTTGGAGACCCATTCAGAACACTGAGAAGTACTAGCACAATTTAATTGTAAAATCAAGTATTCTTTTTATGGGGCTGGCCTTGAGGCTCTAGTATGTCCGTGAACAAGGGGTGGGGCTGGCAATTGGGCTGGGATCTCTAGGCCCTCAACCCTTGCAAATCATGCAGGAAAGCTTAACATTTGAAGGCAAAAAATGTTTGGCAATTTTGGACTCACATGTGGTCAGCCACCCCCACTATTTGGTACCTAAAAGAGAGGGGAACCACCAGACTGAGCATTTTTAATTGGACTGCTTTGGAGGACACAGAGAGGCCACCATCTCCCCCACAGCCACAGTCCCTGGCACTCAAGCCCTTTCGGTCTTAGGGAGCAGCTCAAAACTCAGGTGCCTGAGCCTCCCTGACTCACCAAAGGGGACGTGCATCAAGGCTTCCTGAACGCGAACATGAAGCTCAACAGCCATTCTCAGAAGGCCAAACGACAGTAAAGATGCCGGGGGAATTTCTTTATTCCCCTACATTAGGACAACCCTGAACATTTTAAGCCATCTGACATTTACCCCTAAAAGTTTCTTCAAACCCATTACGTTTCACTGATTTTCTCATTTGCTTGATGGATATGATATTGGTGACTGATAAGTTTTTGCTTTACTGTAAAAATTATTTCTAGTTCATTAGCAGGACTGCCTCCCCTCAGGTCCAGAGTGTACTGTGTCACAGGACCCTGCTTCTTCAAATCTGTCAACTCAATCCAATCTGATCAAGAGCGAGATCCTGTCCCCCAACTGCCTCAAAAAAGAAAGAGAAAAACTAGCCTGACATAGTGGTACTTGTCTATAGTCCTAGCTACTCAGGAAGCTGAGGAAGCTGAGGCAGGAAGATCTCTTGGGCCCAGGAGTTTGAAGTTGTCGTGAGTTATGATGACACCACTGCACTCTAGCCAGGGCAATAGAGTGAGACAATGTCTCAAAAATAAATAAATTAAAAATTAAAAGAAAAAAAGAAAACAAAAAGAAAAAGAGAACGCATTTACAGTGTTTCGGATATTTGAGCATTAGGAAAAAATGTATTTCAATACCTGACTTCACGTGACAAAGAATAATGCATTGTTACAAAGGTAATTTTCAAGCTCTTAAATGTCATTAAAACCAAATATAATTCATTCAAAAGACTAAAAATAAAGTATTTGAAATTATAAAGGTTTTTATGCTGGATGTGTATACTTTTTTTAAAAAAAATTCTAAAAATTTGAAACTGAATCAAAAACTTCTTATATTTCTTTTTTGAGTGAAGGTGAATTTTAAAGTCCTAAAAATTGCTATATATATCCACCAAAAAGAACGAAGAATTTGTGCTTAAGCCTCACCCTACCCTCTGAATATACAGACTATAATATCTGAAAGATTATTTCCTGTTTTTGAGACAGGGTCTTGCTCTGTTGCCTGGGCTAGAATGCAGTGGCGTCATCATAGCTCACTGTAACCTCAAACTCCTGGGCTCAAGTGATACCCCGCCTCAACCTCCCAAGCAGCTGGGACTACTGGTGCATGCCCACCATGCCTGGCTAATTTTTCTATTTTTTATAGAGATAGGGTCTCACAATGTTGCTTAGGCTAATCTCAAACTCCTGGCCTCCAGCGATCCTCTTGCCTCAGCACTGCAAAGTGCTGGGGATTATAGGCATGAGCTGCCCCACCCAGCCTCAAACGGTTTTAGGCCAATTCATTTCTTTGCATCAATTAAAATATACTGACATACTCTGGGAAGCCAAGGTGGGAGGACTGCTTGAGGTCACGAGTTCAAGAACAGCCTGAGTAAAAGGCAAGACCCAGTCTCTACTAAAAATAGAAAAATTAGTGGGGCATGGTGGTAATGAAGGAATAAAATTGGACAGTACTGAACTTGCAGAGAAATGGAAGTGGCTATGGACTCCAGAGAAAGCATGATCCTTGGATTTACTGGGAGATTAACAGTGATTCTTGATTTTCTAGAGAAAGAGAGAGGCAGCCCTGGGAACACAGAGCCAAAAAAATGTAAGATTTTATGAAACTTCATAAATTCTTTCATCTTATTTTAATGGCAGCACAAGTTAAATATAAAGTACAATAGAACATGACTAACATTTTATCAAAACATTTTTTTTCTTTTATAATTTTTATTATATCTTGGAATTCTCCTTTTAAACAAAAACACATCAGATACCTGGTCAATTGGAAAACAATTTACAAAGTTCTATTTACATGTAACTTTTCCAGAGTACACCTCTTGCACAAAGCAAGTATGCGGGTTATTTCATTCAAATAACAAGAATTTGCAATTAAATGATCAAGATAACTCTCACTGAAGTCTCTAACAATCTGTTAATTTATTTATCACAAAATGTTTATTTGGTCTTTTAAACACAGGCACCCTTAGAAGGTGTATTTTATCCATTCTTCAGACTTTACTAGGCTTTCATTACAAGTATACAGCACCCAAATCCATTTTAATAGTGTTAACATTTGCCACTAATATTGAGTTTTTAATATATATAATTTCATATAGATGTACTGGAAAAATTAGAACTTCAGACAAATATGAATATAAAATTTTACAAAATGGATAATTAAAAGTTTTTCCAAAAACAGCAATTTAAAAATGCAAAGAATATTCTTTTAGATAACCAGTTAAGTTGGTTAGACTACAAAAATTAAGGTCTTACGAAATCTTTGGCTTGAAAATCAAGACTATTTCAAAACCCTAATCTATTTATTCTATTATAAAATTTTAGAGCAATTTAGAAATACTGAAAGTTACTAAAAGGTCAAGAGGTGCCAGATTTTTAAAGATCAAAGTAAACACCATTTTTCTCCCTTATAATTAAAGTTCTTGAAAGATTTTCTATGTTCAATTACATGAATGTTCATAGGTAAAGTTACTTATGAAGAAATCTTTTCTTCAATTATATAATGAACTAATGTAGTACAGAACTGGAATGGTATAAGCAAAATACTCAACTTCATAATTTGATAAATAATAAGTGAAAAAGATATTACCCATGAGTATGACACAACAGTCTAGGTAGGGGCCTACCTACCTATATTTAAAAAAAAAAAAGCTTATGGGAGGAAGGGGGAACCTACTTATCAATTTATTGACTTGCAGGACAATGCAAACAAGGATGGCTGGATGAGAGTATAAGTAACCAATTCCTTCTGATAGCCTTAGATAGTGCTCCACACCTGACTCCCAACCTTGATGGTACTATGCCATCCCTATAAAATCAAGTATAATTCAAAAGTTGTATGTGAAAAGGAAAAGAGGGAGAAGGGAAGCAAGAAAGCAAGACTTGCTAACTTGAAAAACAAAAATCAGTGGCCTATAACTGAAAGGGAATAGTGCAAAGTTAATCTTTGGCCCCTTTAAAATGTTGGATACTGATTAAAAAAAACAAGAAATATCAAAAAACAAACAACAACACACCACAGTTCTTATAAGGGAAGCATTAGCCTATTAAGAAGGCTTATTATAGTAATAAGAAGCTGCCTAGCTCATTAAAGAAACCAGCCCAGGCCTAAGTAGCAGATACTCTGCAATTCAATTTCAAAAAGTTAAAAAAGTTAACAAACTACCTCCCCTCAATCAGAAATGAGATTCTTCCCTTCAGAAAAATCTCCCTGTAAATGATATAGCCAGGCCTGAATTTCTGAGGCCAAAGTTACCTTAGATTCCTTTCCTCCCTGTTTGCTGCTGGCTGCAAATGCCTCTGCCACCTCCTGCTCCAGGGGCTGTCCTGAGACAGGCACAAACAAATCTAAACCCTCCATCCCAGCATTGGTTCTGCAGTCTCCTATCGGTCTTCCCATCAGAGTGCACTGCTCAATTGTTCACTTTAATGCTTTGAGCAATAAAGACTGCTTTTGTTACAGAAATGACTTTTATAACTTTTATACAATATAGGTTAAAAAGAATAAGATAAAAGGAAGTATATACTAAAAGTCAGATTTATGAAGAACAGTTTTTCTTATTGGTTGTAAGATTTTAGTGGTGATTTAATACTGCTTATGCAATTCTGCACTACATATAGGAACTTCTCAGAATACTGTGCAACACCAAGTAATTTACACACATGCCAGTTTCTAATTTACTTACAGTAACTATCAGTTTAAATGACTGTTTTGCAAGCTCTTCAGACTTGAATTCCATCATGTTTATGACCTTTCATTTCAGGTGTGTAACATCAGCTTTCTTTTTTCTTTTACCCTAAATAACCAAGAACTGGCTGTATGCCTTTTTACAGGAGAAAAAACAGCTTTTCTACTCAGATGCTTTTTACTATTAGCTTTCGCAAAATTTAATAATGCCCACATTATTAAAATAAAAAACTGTAATGAACTTAGACATGACTACATTTTTAAACAAAATATGTAACCTGGCAAAGCTGATGACTTTGTTTAAAAAAACTCTAGGTGTTTCTGAGACACATTAGGCAAGTGAAGTGATGGGAATGTGCAGAAGACCATTTTCTCTCCCTAGTGACCTGCTTTTGCCCCTGAACAGATGACCAGATTTTGAGTCGACTATTTTAAAATTCTGGCATTTTGTTCTCTTGATAAGGAAAAAAAAATCCACACTCTTGCCAAGTCCATTATGTTTTAAAAAATGGTAAAGTCTCCAGGTCATGGAATAAAGAAAGCTTTTAAGTGCTTTATACCTAAAAGGGAGCAATAGCAATTTTGATATCAGTAATGTCCCCTTTTTAATTTAAAAAAGATTGGTCCTCAAAATGTTCAAATTATTCTACATAAATGACTTCTGAAACTTTTTAAACAACTGTATTTTCTTTTTGCCCAAGACTCATCATAAACCACTCAAATTAAGCTAAATTAAAATTGATTTCAGCAGAAAGTAGAAATGTTTCAAAATATAAAATATCATCTACTATTGATTTTAATGTGAAACTGATAACAACTTACACTAAAAAAAATATATATGTCATTAAAAATTTTTTTTCCAGTCTTTTCCCTTCTACCCAGGAAAATTTTATATCCGATGTCACCAGAATGAGCCCTTGGTGATCTTCTTAAGTCCACCAAAGATTATACCTTGGTGGACTTACTGGTGGTCTCCTTCAACTCGTCTCTTACGCACTACGAGAAAAATGAAAGTATGTTAGAAAACCCTATTAATTTTAACAATGCTAATTTGCTCATAACAAACAAGTTTCCGTATAGTCCAGTTATAGTTTGACCAAAATATAAATGTCCATTTTTTACATAATTAATAATTTTAAAAAGCCCTCCTTTACTTGTTGAGAAGCGAGGGGCTTCAGAACAAAAACTATGTATCTTAAGCTCACTGAATGATACCTGTGCTTACATAGCAGCAGCTCTACAAATCTAAAACACAGAATCATTTTCAAGTCATTTGTTTATTGAAAAAATGTATTAATATACCTAGATTAAAAAAAAGACTAATAAATTACTATGTTAAATTTTGATATGACATTCAGGCAACTGGGGTTAGAACGTAACTATCTGCATGCTCTGCTGCATGCAATTTATTTCCTTAGTCTGTGAAAGAACATAATAAAAACATTTTTGTCATTTTCAAAGATAAGTGACTTGCTACTGCTTTCCAAAGTTTCCTTCTCTTATCTCCTATGAAATGTACCAGTTTAGGGATCTGACAAAACAATAAATGTAAAGTAATACAAATCTCAGACCCTGGTAATGTGGTGGGGCCACTTCTGGCCATCATAAACTGTGCCTGCCAAAGTAGCCAGCCAACTAGTTCAGCTGATGGAGTAAAGGTACATATATCTGGGGACTCTGAGCTTCTTTATGGACTGGTGATGCCAAACAGCTCAGTTGTGTTCACTAGTAGCAGGGCAAGGCCTTCAACTTCAGGATCTTGCTACCTGCACTCTCAGCTACCAGTCACCAGAAAGCAATCTCTGAGAGCCACAAACCTGGGGCTCCTCAGCGTTGTGGCCAACTCCCGCTTAGAGAAGACAAAAAACATAGGCTGCAGAGTCAGTGACAAATAGAGTGTGAATCATGGCTCTGTCACATTTTTGTATCGTGTTCTTTGTTTGGCAAGTCAGTTAACTCTCTGAGCCAACTTGTCCTCTGTAACAGGAGAAGAATGACATCTGTATCTCATGGCTGCCTGGTACACCACTGAGAATGCAGTAAGTATTCAATAAAGAGTAATCAGCTTCCTTATCCATCACATTAGGGTTATCAGACGGTCTTGAAACCCTGGTCAGCTATCTTTTTGGGGTGAAGAAAGCCAATTTGGCTATTATTTTTAGAGGACTTGCATTTACATATTATGGCTTTTGATACTTTCCCCAGTAAGTTCCTCTAGGTTAGATTGTTGGTCTATTAATTTCCTACTCTCCTCTGTCTATGGAAGCAAGTAGGAAGGCAACTGCCTCCTCCTTCAACCTAAATTGGCTGTTTGACAGAGGAGCTATAAGCCAATAAGTGCACTTGGCCGGGCCATACCTACTTTGTTCTTGTGCTTTTCTGACTGCCAGCTTCTGATGGTAGGCTTTTTAACAGATGAGACCAGACATTCAAGCTATGTGCATAAAAGCTTATCCAGCCATTGGCTAGGTGCTAGTTAGGAAACAAACCAACCAACCAACCCCCAGAAGGACTAAAGTACGAGGTTCCCATGAGCATTTTTATCCTTATCTATATCAAGTTTACTCCCAACTCTTAATTTTAGTCCAGGCTAACAAAGAACAAGTTTCATGTATTTACTGAAATATTAAGAAAAAAATAAAGGGGAGATGAGCCTTCAAATACAAACTTAACTCATGTATACAGATCTCTGAAATATGGAAATATCAGAAAGGCAAACTTCAGATAATTCTTTAGGATAGAACACTTCAAAGAAGAATTTGAATTGCAGCAGGGTTCGGATGTTATTGGCAGACCATTTCAGACGTTAAAATGCATGGTATAATATATGCTATAAATAAAATCTATAGGACAGAGTGCAGCAAACAAAAAGACATAGAAAATGGACTATGAAATTAGCTAGTACAAAGATAAGAGGCCGGGCGCAGTGGCTCACGCCTGTAATCCTAGCACTCTGGAAGGCCAAGGCAGGAGGATTGCTTAAGCTCAGGAGTTTGAAACCAGCCTAAGCAAGAGTAAGACCCTGTCTCTACTAAAAAGAGAAAGAAAATTAATTGGCTAACTAAAATATATAGAAAAAAATTAGCCAGGCATGGTGGTGCATGCCTATAGTCCCAGCTACTTGGAAGGCCAAGGCAGGAGGATTGCTTGAGCCCAGGAGTTTGAGGTTGCTGTGAGCTAGGCTGACGCCACCGCACTCTAGCCCGGGCGACAGAGTGAGACTCTGTCTCAAAAAAAAAAAAAAAAAATAATAGGAGATTCAAAGTTAAACTGAATATTGCATGTATACCATATAATCTCTTTGTTGTTACAGCGATGATACTTCTTAGTTGGAGAGATAGAAAGTAGGTAGAATTATTTTAGTGACTAGCTGAGACAAAACAATGAGAGAGGAAAAGATGTTATCAAAATTAGAACACCAAAGAACTGATAGAGCCCCATTTGCAAGATGAAAAAAATTGTATGTCCAAGAGATTCTGTATAAGTTTCAAGTCTTGTTCTTTGATCTCTCATTCCAGTTACTACATATCAGGCTGCTGAGACCTGTATGTCAGAAAACATGATCTTCAGCCTTTCTGCCTTGATCTACAGGCAGAGGTCAGAGCGTATGGCTGAAAAAACAATCAAGCTGAGGGCACGAATGGGAGGCTGCACAACAGAGCACAATAGGGCAAAAAGCCATTTCTGACTTCTCTTTCTCACCTGGTGCCCACTTGTTACCTTCCAGCAATTTGTTGATTCATCCTCTAGAGGACAGTCTTATAAATTTTGCCCTATTAACAGTTCTTTAGATCTGGTCTACTTTCTTTCCAAAACCCACTCTATTGATACAAGTTCTATTTCATCATTAGTCACTTGTGAATGTCCTAACTCACCTCATTTTCTATCTCTGAAAGAGTAATAAAAATAGTTCTTTTAGGCCGGGCGCGGTGGCTCACGCCTGTAATCCTAGCACTCTGGGAGGCCGAGGCGGGCGGATTGCTCAAGGACAGGAGTTCAAAACCAGCCTGAGCGAGACCCCGTCTCTACCATAAAAATAGAAAGAAATTAATTGGCCAACTAATATATATAATATAAAAATCAGCCGGGCATGGTGGCTCGTGCTTGTAGTCCGAGCTACTCGGGAGGCTGGGGCAGGAGGATCGCTTGAGCCCAGGAGTTTGAGGTTGCTGTGAGCTAGGCTGACGCCACGGCACTCACTCTAGCCTAGGCAAGAAAGCGAGACTCTGTCTCAAAAAAAAAAAAAAAAAAAAAAAAAAGTTTTTAGAAGTATCATCTTAATCATGCACTTGGTGATCCATATTGGCTCTCAAATGCCTCCCACATAAAATCCAAAGAAATCTAAGTTCTTAACCATGTAATTTTAGTGTCTTCTATCAACTCCCTCTCTTAATCTGCCGACATCAGTGTTTTATTGTTAGCTTCAAACAAGTACTTATCAAATGTTTATTCTGGAGCCAGCATTATGCTGTGAGTTAGTTCTCAAAATCTGCAGGCTGTCATTAGCATATACATAACTAGTTTGCTCTCAAAGCTGGGTTTTTATCCACACAATTCTTCGCTCTAGGAATATCCTCGTTGTCATTTCATGCCCTGAGATCCATGTCTGAAAATCTAGTTTGCCTGAGAACGAAAGATCGTGAGTGGAAGTCTGGGGAGCTCCCAGGACAAAGCTGTTTGCTTTCGCTCGATTCTGCTTTGTCAGACCACGATTTCTTCAACACGGCTTGCTCTCTAACACACTGCCATGGACAGCCACTCCACTGCTCATGTCAACGAAAAGCAGCCTAGGAGATAATCTTCATCTGCTCCCTTCATCTTCCATTTGTGAAATCCCCCTTACTCTAATATTGGACATTTCTTTTCTTACAGAAATTTGGGCAAAGTGCCTACCATGATAGGCTTTGCAGAAGAGTGCACAACTGCTAGGCCTTGCAAAGGTTAGTGTCCCTGCCGTGGTACTTACAGACTTTCACTGTACAGTTCTGGAAGGATGGCTGCTGGAAGTACCTGCCCGCTGGGAAAGACTTATGTAAGATATGGCAGGGGCTACAAATTTGTTGGTGAGATTCTAGGATTTGTTAAGGTAGTTTCAGAGGAGAGGAAAAATGGAGGATATTTTTGGCTGAGTTTATGGCTACTTAAGTACTAGAAAATTGTAACTTTGAGCAGGGTTTAAATTCTATCACCTCATTTACTTACTTAATACAATTTTATTAAGTACCTACTATGTGTTAGGTATGATTTTAAGACAGTTGTAGATTCAACAGCTAGACATGGCCCCTGTCAAAAACATGGTCCCTGCCCTAAAAAAGCTTACAGGCTTTGAAAATAGCCGATTTCAATAAAGTATAATTAATTTTCTATGTGAAATGCAATTTAAAAAGTGTGACCAGAAGCTGTGACAAGGGCATACCTGTTCAGCATGTATAAAAATGATCTCAGAAACTCAAATTCCACTTAAAAGTGGAGAAACACACTCAGAGAAACAATCACTGGGCATGAAACTGCCTACAACCAAATCAGCTGGAGTACTTGCTAAATGTCCCAAAGCCCAAGGAAACTTACGGTCATAGAAAGGACAGAAAGGGTGTGAACTAATACTTTATCATGGTGATCCGGATTAAAGGAATGAAGCTGTATTTTTTCTGCTCCAGAAACTTTTAAAGAATGCAAACTCAAATATGACTGAAGTGTAAAAGAACTGCAGCACTTTGAAATGTTACTCCTTTTGAGAAGTCTTAATTTAATTCTTGCCTAAAATGTATCTTTTAAAATACTCCAATGGCATATATCATAACTTAAGAGTGAATTTTAGGAAACATGTAGAAACAAAATTATAAGCACCATATTCTTTAATTCAGCCTTGGCTGCAAAATTTATTTCAAACAGAAGCTACAGGCCCCAGCAATTCAATAGGAACCACAAAGGAATGAGAGATCGCTAATCTACATGTATGCTGTGAGGAGACTGCCCTGTAGCAGTTCTGTTAGGCAGCCCAGCAAATAGTTACATACCAGTGACCATAAAACTTGGGGAAAAAATGATAATTATTCCATATTTTGTATATTTCTATATTCTATATTTTACCATATAAAATTTCTATCTGGGTCTGTTTGACAAAAAGGGCAAAAAAACCTTCCTGTAATGTTGAAATCTTTCTTTTAATACGTCCAAGAACTGATTTGCAACTGAGAACAAAATATTTGTTTGTTGTAGAAAAGTATTCACTTAAAGCTATAAAACATGTTTGTCACACGAAGCTGATTTTACCCATTGACCCAATGATCACTACAACCTCAATTACATTTAACTCTAATTCAATCAGTATGAAAAGGACTGTGCCAATTTTAGAAACAAAGGCCAAGTAATTTCCCTCTGTTAACGTTCATTTTTAAAAGTGAAAAGTTCCCCCCATATATTAGCTTACTGGTAGAATTCAGAAACTCAGCTTGATACGACATATATCTTACCTAAATCATTGTTTTTTGTTATAGCATTAGCTGCCCTGGTTCGTGGTCCCTGCTGTGTAAACTGATACCCAAATTTAAGGATATTTGTATTTTCCTCAAGTATCTTGGCCATTTCCAATTCTACAGCTGTCCCCAACTGCTGCCTCTGGAAAAATTAGAAATAAAGAACAATATAAATAAACTAGATCAAAATACTTTTCAAGGTAAATCGAGACTAAGGCATTTAAGCACATGCTGATTCTGTTGGTCTGGTTAAATTTTCCTAATTCCTACAATGTATCTAAGAGAAATAAATTTTTAAATGTTCAGTATACGATCATACAGACATAAAAAAGTGTGAATTACTATAATGAGATAGATACTACTTCATACCTCCAATGATAAGTATAATCAGAAAGAGAGACAATAACAAGTGTTGGCAGGAACATGGAAAAATTTGGACCCTAATACATTGCTGGCAGAAATGTAAAATGATGCAGCTGCTGTGGAAAACTTTTTTTTGCTATTACTCCAAAAGGCAGAGTTACCATATGACCCAGCGATTCTACTCCTAGGTATATATCAAAAGAAGTGAATACATGTCCACACAAGACTTTGTACATGAATATTCACAGCAGCATTATTTCTAAGAGCCAAAAAGTATAAACACCCCAAATATAGAATATTCTTTAGCCATAAAAGAATGAGGTACTGATATAGGCTATAACGTGTATGGACCTCCAGAACATTAAGCCCAGTGAAAGAAGCCAGTCACAAAAGATCACAGATTGTTTGATTCCACTGATATAAACTGTCCAGATTAGGCAAATTCAGGGAGACAGAAAGCAGATTAGTGGTCACCAGGGGCTGGTGGGAGGGATGAATGGGGGTGACTGCTAATAGGCATGGGGTTTCTTTCTAGGGTAATGAAAATATTCTGGAATTAATGGCAAGGAGTGCAAAACTCTACAAATAAACTAAAAATCATTTAATTATAAACTGAAACATGGATTAAGCAGCATTCTGGTTAAATTTTAAGACATAATTCTCTTTTCTACCTTCATAGTCTACAAAATTTATTTACTATGAAGGACTGAGGCAGACATTTACCAAGTATTTTTTAAAATAACTGCAGTTATTTTTCAAATAAAAGATTAATAGTCACATGGATGAAAACATTTCTAACATGTACATCTTTGTGCCTCTTACTACAAATACAAAAAGTCTACATGTAAACCTTGCCACCACAGAGGTAAAGAATTGGAGAATGGGTCAGGCTCAGGTGCAGTGGCTCACGCCTATCATCCTAGCACTCTGGGAGGCTGGGGTGTGAGGATTACTTGAGCTCAGGAGATCGAGACCAGCCTGAGCAAGAATGAGACCCTGTCTCTACTAAAAATAGAAAAATTAGCTGGGCGACATGGCATGTGCTTGTAGTCCCAGCTACGTGGGAGGCTGAGACAGGAGGATCCCTTGAGCCCAGGAGTTTGGGGCTGCACTCTATCTGGAGTGACAGAGCAAGACTATTCCTCAAAACAAAACAAAAAAGAATTGGGGAATAGATTGAGTGATACGTAAGAGTCCTTCCAGTTCAAAATAGCCAGTCATCTAAATTCTCTTAAAATGACTTAGTAAGAGTTGTTTTGCATATATCTTTATATACATGAAGTTAATATCCTGGATGTCCCAAATGTCCTCTCATCCTCTTTCAGTCACCACCTTCTGAAAGGGATCCCTGACAACTCTCCTCCCACCCTCGAGTCCTCAAGCTCAACGTAACAGTGTGGGTTGTCATTTTTTGAAAGTTATAATCATGGAACACTGACCTGATTATCAATCTTGAGCTCTGCCAGGGTTTCATTGTCTCTTAAAGCATCAATCAGTGCTAGAATCCCAGCTCCTGTGATAAAGTTGGACTCCATATTTAAACTCTTCAGAGTTTTGTTCACTTTCAGCATATCTGCAAAAGCCTAGAAATTAAAGAACATATTTGGAGATTAAAATGATTTAACTTAAGTTTTAAAAGAATAACTCTTGGTGCTATGTAAAGAATTGGCTTTAGAGTAGGTAAGAGAGGAGAAAGTAACTCAATCAGGAGGCTACTGCAAACAACCCAGGTGAGAGAAGACAGTGGCTTAGACCAGGGTGGTAGTTATGAAAATAGTAAGATGTGGTTGGATTCTAGAAATACATAAATATTTTTTCCTAACCACTAGACCACCAGGGAACAGAAATACTTTGAAGATATGGCAGAATGTATATTTAAGGTTGTGAGAAAAGGAAGTCAAGGATAATTCCCTTTTTTCCCCTGAGCAAATGAAAGATTGAAGTTGCATTTAGTGAGATAGAAAAAAGGGTGAGAGAAGCAGGGATGAGATGGAAGTCAGGAGTTTGGACGGGGACTTAGATGTAAGCTGTCTATTAGACATCCAAGTTAAGCTGTTGAGTAGGTAGCTGGGCATGTGTATGAAGTTCAGGAAAGAGGCACAAACTGGAGATAGTAGCACTGGGAGTCATCAGTACATATAGATGACTTGTAACAATGAAAAAGAATGAGATTACCCAGGAAGTGAATACAGACAGAGAAAAAAGAAGGACCAAGCCCTGGGCCATTCCATTGTTTGCCAGGGGTCCTCAAACTTTTTAAACAGGGGGCCAGTTCACTGTCCCTCAGACCGTTGGAGAGTGTGGGGCACATTCCACACAAGCGCACTGTGGGCCTGGGACGAGTTGGCTGCTAAGCAGGACAGGCAGCGGCAGCAAAAACACCTGGCTGGCCGGATAAAAGTCCTCCAAGGGCTGCATGTGGCCCGCAGGCTGTATTTTGAGGACGCCTGGTTTAGAAGCTGGGGATATAAGGAGGAACCAGTGTAGGCTCTTGAGAAGGAATGTCCAGTGAGGTAGAAGAAGAACCAAAAGGAATGACATCCTCACAGCCAAGTGAAGGAAAAAGTTCATACCATGATCAAGTGGGATCTCAGGAATGCAAGGTTGGTTTAACATACAAAAGTCAATCAGTGTAATGGACCATATTAATCAAATAATGGACAAAACCCAAACGATCTCAATAGATGCAGAAAAAAGCATTTAACAAAAATCCAACACTATAGATCCATAAATGGAATACTCTGCAGATGTTAAAAGAATGTAGATCTTTATATGTTGATATGAAAAGAAAAATCAAGTTGCAAAATAGCATATATTACATGATTCCATTTATGTTTTTTAAAAAGTCATAGGAAGGAAATATAGCAAAAAATATAAAAAGATAATAAATATTATATTGCCTAATAGTGAGACAAAACATCAATTGAAAAAAGGGAGTAAATCAGGTCCATAAAATCACAGTTTAACCACCACTACATACCCTGGTATGTAGGTGTAATTTCAATATTATCAGTAGTAGCTTACTTACAACAGCAACAGGGTCATTGCTCCGGGTGGCTGCAAGACTGAAATATTTCACATGTGTGTTGGTTTCCAAAGCCTTCGCAAAATCTTTTAGGGTTGGAATTGGGATATTCTTGAAAGACAATAATGTGAAACATCATTAAATTTTAGTTTTCATTACATTTTCATTTTCAGGGCAGATCATGTATCAGTACTTCTCTAGCATTTTTTATTAACTATCCTATTGGTTTTCTGGATTTTCTTTTTCTAGCACTTAGGTTAAAAAAACTCTATTCTACTTTTAATTATTCTTATTATATGTAACCAGCTGTTGATAATTAAAAGTGGATCTACTTTTCTACAAGGAGAGAGATGTAGAAGTCTACTTCTAATGTGTATGATCTCTGAGGTAGATGACCTATTGTTTGTAGTCAGTTTAAGCTACAAGGTATTAAGAGAGATTAACCCTATACTACTTGAAGGATGAAAAATATAGTTACTGTAGGTACTGATTTCTCCCTTTAGTACCTGAGACTTTAATTCCCTATAGCCTGGTTATTTTCAGATCATTACTATTTATTTAGAGACAGAGATACACAAGGATGAAATCTTTTTTAAGAAAAATAAAAAAGATTAGTGATCAATTAAGAGTATTCATTTTATCCAAGGCTTTCTTCCCTCCACTCACAAAAAGGAACGCCCGCCAAAAGAGCACAAAAGTCTTCTTCTCTAGTTTCATGTAATTTCTAAATGTTTTCCTCCTCTCACTCCTCAATTCAGAAAAATTAAGATTTAAAATGAGAAATTTGGGCCGGGCGCTGTGGCTCACGCCTGTAATCCTAGCTCTTGGGAGGCCGAGGCGGGCGGATTGCTCAAGGTCAGGAGTTTTTTTTTTTTTTTGGGAGACAGAGTCTCACTCTTGTTGCCCTGGCTAGAGTGCCATGGCGTCAGCCTAGCTCACAGCAACCTCAAACTCCTGGATTCAAGCGATCCTCCTGCCTCAGCCTCCCGAGTAGCTGAGACTACAGGATGTACCACCATGCCCAGCTTAATTTTTCTATATATTTTAATTGGCCAATTAATTTCTTTCTATTTTAGTAGAGGATGGGGGTCTTGCTCTTGCTCTTGCTCAGGCTCGGTCTCGAACTCTGAGCTCAAACGATTCACCTACCTCAGCCTCCCAGAGTGCTAGGGATTATAGGCATGAGCCACCGCACCCAGCCTGGGTCACATATTTTTGCTTTCACATTTCTTAAGATCTTTGACTGTGTGCTAAGCACTTTGTATAAAAGTATAGCAGAGACTAAAGGAAGTTACATTCCCAGAAAGAGCACAATTCTTAGGTCAGAGCTGAATCAATATGCTCTACAGTTGAGCGGGATCTGGGCCTTGCTGCAACTTTAATTTGACTGAATTTCTCATTGGCTTAAAACATTTTGAGAACCTGATCAGAGTTTCCCTTTAGCAAGGCCTGGGATTAGAACCTGGTGAGATTCTGGAGATCTGCTGAGCTGCCTACTTTTCTGAACTGTGAAATTTCTTCCTGATGTATAGCCCTGGCTGCCAGCTTTCGGGTAACTGGGAGCTCTCTCTGCTTTCCAGCCCCACCCTTGGCTTGTGGTTTTCCGCTCTGTGAAAGCGGGACGGCCTAGCAGGGATTTCTCCCTGCTCTGCTGCTTCCCTCCATCTCCCCCAGATAAAAGCCCATGCCTGGGATTTTCTCTCAGCTCTGCTTCACTGCCTCTGTTCTTGAGTACTACCCAGCACTAAATGAAGACCCACAGAAAAGAGCCGGGGGTTACTATTAATATATTCTCTCTCTGTCGCTAGGGCTGTACTGTTCAATATGGCAGCCATTAGCCACATGTGACTTATTTAAATTAATTAAAATGAAAAATCCAGGTTACTTGGTCACTCTAGCCACATTTCAAGTCACTCAAAGACACACTGGCTAGTAGCTGCCAAACTAGTTACCACAGATACTGAACATTCATTCTGTCATCACAGCAACGTTCAGTGAACAGCACTGGTCTAGGGCTTCTCTGGATTCTAACCTACTGTGCCAGCTCACACACGTGGATTAAGAAGTTTGTCAAAAAGTTAGGCTGATTTCTCCTTACTTTCCTCTATGGTAGTTCTCCTTCTCCCTACATTTCAGTGCAGGGATGGAGCAGAAGTGGATCACTTCTTTTATGAAGGGCTTGTCGCTTTCTGGAGTCATTTAGGTTTGTGTCCTCAAGCTCTCTAATAATAGGTGTAACAAGGAACTATGATTATGTAGTTTAGCTGCTTGTTGTTTGGTTATTATGGTGAGAATAACAGTCTCTTGCAACTTTCTACATCTGAATCAGAAGTCTTTCTAGTCAGGTATTTCTTATTAAAAACTGGCACCAGTCATCCACAATGTATTTGCATTAGTAAGGATGTTTTAACTGCATGTAAGAGAATATCAAATTAAAATTGGTTGTAAACTGTATCTATGCTTTAACGTGTATCTTAATCACCCCGGATCTTATTAAAATGCAGATGCGATGTAGTAAGTAAGTGGGGTCTGAGATTCTGCATCCTAACCAATCTTCCAGGTGATGCTGATCAACAGAAATCTATAAGCAGACAAGCGTTCAAACAATAAGAATGTTGTATTCGTCTCACTTAAGTATACCCCAGGAAGATGGTTCTAACGGTTGGTTCAGCAAAGCTCAGTTGGACATCAAGGATCTAGGCTCTTTCTTTTTCTCTGGCCATTCTTAGCATGGTGGCCTTTGTTCTTAGGCCTTCGTGGTCCTCAAGATGACCTCTGAAGGCACCAAGTTCATGTCCCCCATACATTCGGTCAGGACAGAAGGAAGGGTACTTTCCTCAAACTGCAACTTTTAGTAAGGACCTGCCCTGCAGATTTCTCCTCTGGCTTACTGACCGCGCGTGGGACCACAAGTCCATTCCCCCAGCATGGAAAGGCAGCTAGGAATCGAGACACCTGTGAAGGTTGCTGACTAGGCAACTCAGTGTGTGTCCCAATTGAGAAACCCAAATGAAGTTACGCTGTTTTCCTTAACCCCCCTGAACATTTCACTTATAGCTGATACCTACACAACTGCCACAGTGTGTGTTGCCGTTCTGTGACTTTTTGAGATGTGATTATTGTTGTGTTTATCACTGCGATCCTTGCTTAATACACAGTAGAACCAATTTGTTGAAAATAATTTGGTAAAACCCACCTCCAATTTCTTTTATAATGCTCTCAGTTTAATAAAGGTAATTTAATACATGGTTCCAAGTACACAGTAGGCCTGTGTTAGGTCCTCCCAAGATTCTTCAAGCCCAGGCTTCAGTGCTTCTTCCAATAACTGGTAGTCTTACAAAATTCTTTTGTAGCAGCACTTTCTATAACAGCAAACAAAGTGCCTCCTCTACATGCCAGAGATAGCATAACGAATCTTAATTAGTCACAAATTTTGGAGTCTGATGATATATAATCTATTATTTGGATGCACAGATAAGCAAGGCCAAATCACTTATTCCTACTAGTTCTACCATAGTACTTCTCGGTCACGTGATATTACACCCTTAGTGGACATGAATTCAGACACATTCTCCTTGAGCTCAAGTCTCACCTGCATTTTCAGCTGCCTACAGCAGTAGTTATAAAATTAGCTGCACATTGCTTCACTCGGACAGCTTAAAAAAATTCTAATGTCAAATCCCACCCCAGAGATTCTGGGTTTAATTGTTGTGTGCTGCATGGGGCAATCTGAATTAAAAAGCTCTCTAGGTCCTGACCTTGAGCAATCCGCCCGCCTCGTCCTCCCAAAGTGCTAGGATTACAGGCGTGAGCCACCATGCCCGGCCTGCCACTTTCTTTTCTATTAAGAAACTATCAGGGACATATGTGAGATTGTGTGGCCTTATGAATCTATGAAGTACTCTATCAAATGAAACTTCTGCAGGCTTCTAATTAGTTTAGTGACTGTTAGGTAGTTCTTATTCAAGGTAAATATAAATCAATGTAACCCTAAGGAATCCTTCCACAATATAGACTGCTCTCACAATTTTGACCAAGGCTGGTCAGGTATTTTCTGTTAAGCCAATCTAAAGGTTTTAATTTCTTTGTTTTCTTTTTCCCCCCATTATTTTACATTCCAGAGAAGGAATGGGTCCCCTGTGACTAGAGGAGACCAGATCTTAATTTCTGATATATTTTTATTTTTAGCATTTCCATTTGTTTCTTTTTAAAAAAAGTATTTCCATGTCTCTGCTAAAATCCTCCATCTCTTGACAGATGCTGTGTACCTTTTTCACCAGACTCTTTGGCATTTTTATCATAGTTATCTTAAAGTCCCTGACTGATAATACCAATATCTGGGTCACCTCTGAAGCATCTTCTTTTTTTAAGAGATGAGGTGCTGTTATGTTGCCCAGGCAGGCCTCGAATTCCTGGGCTTAAGCAATCCTCCTGCCTTAGCCTCCCAAGTAGCTGGGACAGGCTCTGGACCTTCTACTGGTTGTTTACATTCTTGGGTCACTATATGGGTCACTTTTTTTTCAGGATAATTGGGTATCCATCAACTGTGCATTAAAGAGCTGAGGACGGTGGCAATGCTGTAGTCTCCAGCTAATTGGGGACTAGGTTGGAGAATTGCATGTGCCCCAGGAGTCCAGCCTAGGCAACATAGCAAGACCCCATCTTTGGTAAAAAAAAAAAAATTTAAAGAAACCTTGCTCCCTAATGATAATATGGATTTAAGTCATTAGTGTGCTGAAATCATTCGGCAAAAGTTCAGGAGGAACTTAAAAGATGGCTTCAGGTTGCCAACATTTTAACCCCTACATGGATCTTACATATGCTCCAAAGAGGAAGGCTCAGACTTGATAAGCTTCCTAATGTGATTCAACACCACTCATAAAGCATTCTTGCCAAAAAGACCTACACCTGAATCTGATCAAGCCACTAGAGCTAACAGTTTATAGAAACATAGGCAATAGAAAAAATATACAAATAACCCATGAGGTTAAAATCACTCAATCCAGAATGTAGAAACTTCTATATGACAAATAACTAGTTCTCTCAGAATAATGGCATGAAAAAGGGAAAAAGGTTGGGGGAGACTCGTTAAGAACTAAGGGAGAATTGAAAAGACAACATGCAGCAGGTGTAACCTTTCATTTGGATTTGATTTGACAACACCGTGAAGTGATGTTTTCCCTGGACATGGAATGGTATGTAGATGCATGAAGGAATTATTAATTAATTTTTAAATTGATAATCGGGCATTGCTGGTTATGTTAAAAAAGCTTTTTGTCTAGGAAGACAATTACGACTGTGGCAAGTGACTAAAATGAACCAGGATTTTGCTTTAAATATCCTGGGGAAAGATGGAAGGGGAAGGGAGGAGGCAGAAGATGGATGAACAAGGCTGCAAAATGCTAAACATTGCAAGCTGAGTGCATTGGTTATTTTATCCTCTTCTTATGTATGTTCTGTTCGGAACCATTCTACCCAATCAAAATTAAATGCGAGGAATGGCCCCCATACAGCACACCCAAACGATGTTTTTAGTTGTTCAAATGGGTATGACTATATGTTACCTACTTAGAAATGTGACACACTCTGTAGTGAATATACTTATCACTGGGTTTAAATCCTTAATCATTGACTTGTGTGACCTCAGCGACTCGCTTAATTTTTAAAATCTCAGCATCTTACATGCAATTCGATAACAATCTTCTTCATAGAATTTTGGGTGAGGATTAATGAAAAATAATCCACATCAAAGAGCCTATGCACTAGAGACATGGCCATAGTAGCATTTTAAATCTCAGCATAGTTTCTTATTTGAATTAATCTATACAAAGTATTTATTCACACTGAATCCCAATTTTTTGTAAAATAAGCTTTAATGCATATGGTTTCGTATAACTAGGTACAGTTCCTAGAGGTATTACACGAAGTGGTTTAGTTAAGGGTGGGGTGTGGGGGAGCGCAGAAAGGCATTGACAATTACTGGATAAGAGCACTTCTCATTCTTACATATACACTTATGTATTATTTTAAATTGCTCAAAACATGTACCACCATTGGGTAATTCTTTAAAAAACTTATATTGAATATTTCCTAAAGGAGGTTAGGGGCTGGGTTATTTTTGTAGTCTTCTATGGAATCTGATTTTATATATGCTAACTCTCTCTGTTAGCATTGTGTGATTTCCTGACTCAGTACACCAATAAGGTCACACAAAATCAGGTTGACTAGCTTATACTAGCTTCTACCCATTCAGCATTATTCTAAGTGAAGTGAGGAGTAAATTCCTATTAATATTTTCTTCTGATACTATTCTTATATTATATTTATATTCTATTTTCAATGGCCTCATCTCTGTCGTAATACATCAACTGGAACTGGTTCTTCAGGTTACATGATTTTACATTCTAGAATGTAACTTGAAGTTGATTACCTGGATAAACACATTAATTTTAATAAGACTTGATTCCAATATCTGTATTTATGTACTCCGTTGAAAATGTTCTTTGGTCGACCCATTAACTACTTCCCCGTTATTACGACTTGTGTGTTCTGTATCAAATGTGCATTCCAGACTACTATAAATATAGAACAAAACTAGAATTTACTTCATCCTGCCTTTTTTAACACAAGGAATTTTACAGCTAAAATTTCTTATCCAACAATTTTAAATTTTCCTATAATCGATTTTTGTTAGCAGATAAAGCAAAGTGGATAAACAACTCTATATTCTCTTTCACTTATTGTTGTTACTTCCCCCCATCTTTGAAAGTTAGACACACCAGCAGAGCCAACCTATCCTTAACCTCTCTGTGCCCTTACTTCAACTGGTCTTCGCGCCCTAGCGAGAAATTCTCGCGCATGTCATGTATGCTGTTCCATTCTTCACAAGGTTTCCTAGGAACCTAGTGATAAGGAAGATTCTCTTCAACTGACCTTATCTCATTTTTATTTGTTTATCTTCAATTATCTCATATTCTGTTAGCTGTTACTTTTCTAGTATGTTTTTGTCTTCTTTATTTAGTAAGTTGTCTCCCTCAACGCAATGGTTCCAGCCTTGGCCACTGGAGTCCATCTCTACAAAACCAGTAAAAATCTTGGGCACTGCGCCACGGCTATAGTCTCAGCTTCTTGGCAGGCTGAGTAGGAGCCCAGGGAGTTTGAGATGCAGTGGCCCTATGTGATGCCATGCACTTCCAGCCAGGCACCACGTTTTTTCGAGATCTTAAAAAACAAAACAAAACCAGATGAACTAAGGGGGGCATAATTTTTTAGTTTGATGCTTTTGTACAAATAAGGCAGACTGAATGATAATTCCACAGAGGCCATGGAATGTTCCATACACACTTCAGAAAATTTGGAAAAGTGTGAGTACCGCTCAGGCTTGACTCTGTTTCATTTTCCACTGCATTTCTATTATTCTTCGTGGGTCTTTTTACTCACATGGCAGTTTGAACCTGAAAAGATTCTTTCCGTGCCTTAGGTAGGAATGACGTTCATGCCTGACACCAGCCTGATAAGGACTACTCTATCTTCGAAAGATTTCTTTAACTAATACAACATGGGAAGAATGTTCCAATAATAATATTCTATTAATAATAAAATTTACAAGGCCAGAGTGTCTTGGTATCATATATGCTCATATAAGGTGTCGTGTGCTGGTATTCCCTCCATCTCCTTCTCCAATTATTTTTATTAGGACTACCTGCAGTCACCACATTCTGATCAGAATTGTCAAAGTCTCCTTCCTATTTGGATCAAGAGAGGACTTTTTCTTCTGTAGTCTAGTAAGGTCTTCCTGTATCGGGATAAAATATTCCTGTAAACTAAAGCACCTTTTGTTATTCCAGTAATGGTTTATTTAAACTCTCATTATCATTTTTTTACCTTCTAAAGTCTTCTCACAGTTGTTCCAACTTGGAACTGAAGGAAGCAAGAGACTTAACATTCTACGGTCATTTGTTTTCACTTTCTTATAATGATTTAAACTTTCTGAGGCACATACTTTGGCTTGTTATTTGGAAGAACAATCTTCTCTCTGGAAAATAAATACGATGCCTATTTCTATGGGAGTTAATTGAGGGTTTTTGTTTTACTAATATTGACCTAATCCAATATGACCAATAACCAAAAACTATAAAACTTTCAAAAGTGATTAAACAAATCCAATTTCCATTTATTCTTAAGCAACGAACGTCTACAGTCACTTGGGGGATTGGCACAGGTATTATATTTCCAGTTTGGAGTTCACACCTTTGAAGATTTCCTTGTTTTATGCCTGTTCTTAGTAGTATGAAAAGTATTCATGGTTAACTTTCTCCATCATTATGTTTTTGTGGCAAGGCCTATGTCAGATTAAAGAACCTTGCCCTTGTCTTTTTTTTTGAGACAGAGTCTCACTTTGTTGCCCAGGCTAGAGTGAGTGCCGTGGCTTCACCTGCCTCACAGCAACCTCAATCTCGGCTCAGCGACCCTTATCCTCAGCCTTCCCGGAGTAGCTGTATACACAGGAATGCCACGCCCACCGATGCCGGCTTAGTTTTGTTATATATTTAGGCTGGTATAAATCAATATTTATTCTATTTTGGTAGCAGACAGGGTCTCGCTCAGCTGGGGTCGACCAAGAGACAATGTGAGTTTACTCTCTGATAATTAATTACCTCTATGCTCTCCCGATTTCTTCTTTCCCTACTCCAAGGAAGGTTGCATTGTTTGAAACCTGGTAAGATCCCAGAAAGCCTCTCCTAGGTATACACTCAAGAAAATTGAAAACACATTCACACAAAAACTTGTATGTGAAAGTGTATAGTGGCTCTGTTCATAATCATCCGACACTGGAAGGAAACTATGTATCTATCAACTGAAGAACAGGTAAGCAAACTACAGCCTATCCAATGACATAATATCCAGCAATAAAAAGGAACTACTGAAACACACAATAACACGATGAATCTCAAATGCACTGTGCTAAGTGAAAGAAACCAGACTCAAAACTCAGAACTATACACAGAAAGGGAGAATTTTGTTATACTTAAATTTTATTTCAAGAAACCTGATTTTAAAAAAGCAAAACCCAAAAGGCTAAATGTTCTTAGAAATAAACAATATTTTGAAAACCAGAAAGATTTATGACAGTTTGTAGGGTTTACATTTTTGTATGATAAACTCTTTAAAAAGCAAGTTAGAAAATACTGTACTATAATACTAAAAACTGCCCAGCGCTTGCCCTAGGTCCAACTGACTCAAAGCAATACAAAACAACTTTGTGTGCTTAGCACACTTACCTTTATATTATTCAAATTAACTTCCACAAGACGAGCATCATTTTCTTTAATTCTCTTTAAACTCTCTTCAACGTTGGTTGGATTTGGTGGCTCATCAAATACTGGAAGAATCTTCTCACCTTTCACCACATCTGCAGTAGCAGATGAAAAGAGTTAAGAGTTTCACTAGTTGACGCCACTACAGTACATGTATATATTAACTTGGTAACACACTTCTATCTCTGTCTCTCACATACAAACACATTTATTCAACAGAACGGATTTAAAAGTTCCTTCCCTATGACTCCTAAAAGATCTTTTATGTGTTGATACATATTTAAAGCATCCAAATAAAATTTTATTGAATATAAATATCAAATATATTCAACATTTGTTTGCCATGTATCAGCTATTTTTACTGCTCCTAGTGTAGTGTATTACAATATAATCTTTACCATTCAAATATATTTGACAGTGCAAGCTGATGATCCCATTTATTTGTAGCAATATTCAAGGTAAAGTTCTACCATGATAAAATCTAGCATTTCTTATCATTTTTGCTGAGATGTGACAGATAACTGATATAAGAAATCATAGACTTAAGGAAATAGAGCTTCAATAGGAAGAATTAGGTGACAGGAAGGCACATTCCCTCTTCTTCCCACGGGGGTATTATGCAATCAGAAAAAGGGGAGAACTCTTGACTAGCAAGAAGGAAATACATACAAAGAAGGGTCAGAGTAGGGAGTGGGGAGGGAGAGAGAGGTGAAGGTACACAGAAGAGCTAGTGAGACAGAAAGCAATATTCACTGCCCTCCTTCACTCTTACCCTCATTTTAACCTTATATACCCACACACATGACCAGAATGTAGCACTTCAGAGCTGCAAAACAGAGGACCTAGAATCTCTGAACCCTTTAACAAGATATCATTGTGTCCTGATGCACATATGTGGAAGTCTATGAACACCTGTAACAGGCAAACTAGTATGAATATACTTTTCTGGGGAGCATCAGATTCTCAAAGAAGAAAATGACCACAAAAAGTAAGCATAACTGACAATGGAAAGACTGATGGGGTTTAAAATGGATCACTGGCTTGGTTCTTCTCTTCTGCTCTCTAGCTTTCAAGAGGAAAACTTACCTGAAGACAAGGTGCACTGCTTGCTTACTCATTCAATAAATTCCATCTAAGAGTGTCTTGTTATTTTCAAATCTCTCTCTCTCTCTCTCTCTCTCTCTCTCTCTCTCTCTCACACACACACACACACACACAGAGCATCCTGAGATCAACTTAGATGAGGGTTTGAAAATTGCTTTCCTGAGGACAGTTGACAGATCTGAATATATTTAGCCCAGAGAAGTATATATTAAAAGAAGGTATGCTAGTTGTTTTCAGATTTATCCAGTAGAAGAGACAAATTTCATGTTGTTCTCAAAGGCTGGGTTAGAATAGGTATAAATTGCGAAGAGGCAGAATTTGGTTCAATACAAGAAATGCTTCCTTATGGAACTCTGCTAAATAGGAAAGAGTGGGCTCCCTCTCACTTAAGTTCAGTGAGGCAGTCTTCAAAATAGGCCAAGGGACCTAGAGAAGATTCTGACTAGAAAACTGGATTCTAAATTTTATAAAATAAAAAAATTTCTTTCCCCACTCCACAGAATATGTGTATTTAAATTAATTTATTTAAAAAAAACCTTTTTATTTTTAATTATTATGGGTACATAATAGTTGGATATCTTTGTAGGGTACATGAGATGCTTTGATACAGGCATACAATGTGAATTAATCAAATCAGGATAATTGAGGTATCCATCAACTGTGCATTTAAAGAGCTGAGGACGGTGGCACATGCCTGTAGTTCCAGCTAATTGGGAGGCTAGGTTGGGAGAATTGCTTGTGCCCAGGAGTCCAGCCTAGGCAACATAGCAAGACCCCATCTTTGTAAAAAAAAAAAAAAAATTTAAAGAACCTTGCTCCCTAATGAAATAATGGATCTAGTCATTGTGATGCTGAAATCATTAGGCAAAAAAGTTCAGGAGGAACTTAAAAAGGATGGCTCAGGTTGCCAACATTTTAACCCCCTAATGGATCTTAACATATGCTCCAAAGAGGAAGGCTCAGACTTGATAAGCTTCCTAATGTGATTCAACCACCACTCATAAAGCATTCTTGCCAAAAAAGACCTACACCTGAATCTGATCAAGCCACTAGAGCTAACAGTTTATAGAAACATAGGCAATAGAAAAAAATATAAAATAACACCATGAGGTTAAAATCACTCAAATCCAGAATGTAGAAAATTCTATATGACAAATAACCTAGTTTCTTCGAGAAATAAATGGCATGAAAAAAAGGGAAAAAAGGTTGAGGGGGAGAACTGTTAAGAAACTAAGGGAGATTGAAAAGACAACCAAATGCAGGGTGTAACCTTTATTTGGATCTTGATTTGAACCAACCGTGAAGTGATGTTTTCTGGACATGGAATGAGTATTAGATGACATGAAGGAATTATTATTAATTTTTAAATTTGATAATGGCATTGTGGTTATGTTAAAAGAAAAGGCTTTATTTGTGAGAGACATACAGAAACATTTATGGGTGAAGTGATACAAATGAACAGGATTTGCTTTAAAATATCCTGGGGGAAAAAAGTGGAAGGGGAAGGGAGGGAGGCAGAAGATGGATGAAACAAGGCTTGCAAAATGCTAAAAACAACTGAAGCTGAGTGATGGATATATTATTATCTCTTCTTTTATGTATGTTTGAACATTTCTACAATAAAAAATTAAAAATGGGAGGAAATGGCCAAATTACAGACCACCATAAAACAGAATGTTATGTAGTTGTCCAAATGAGGTACACTGACTATATGTACTAACTAGGAAACATGACACATCTGTAAGTGATATACTATATTGCATGGGTTAAAATCCTTATCATTGACTTTGTGTTGACACTCAGACTAGTTAATTATTCAAAAATCTCAGCTCCTTCACATGCAAATTAAAGATAACAATACCTTTTTCATAGAAATGTTGTGAGGATTAAATGAAAATAATCCACATTCAAGAGCTATGCATAGAAGAACATGGCCCATAGTAAGCATTTAAAAAAATTAGCCAATAGTATTATTATTGAAAAATTAAGTTATAAGAAATATTTATAATATGATCCCATTTTTGTAAAAAAATAAAAAAAGACTATATAACATGCATATGTTTGTATAAACATAGTACAAAGTCTAGAAGGGTATATACAACGAAGTGTTAATAGTTAGGGTGGGGTGTGGGGAGCAGAGGGCATGACAACTACTGATAGAGACACTTTCACTTCTTACCATATACACTTATGTATTATTTAAATGTGCTACAAAACCATGTATCACCTTGGTAATTTTAAAACACCTTATAAATGAATCTTTTAAAAGGCTTAGGGGCTGGGTAGTTTTGTAGTTTCTATGGAATCTGATTTTATAATGTAATTTCTTTGTTAGCATTGTTGTGGATTTCCTGAAAATCAGTAACACCAATAATAAAATGTCAACAAAAATCAAGTTTGACTAGCTTTTATACTGTTTACCATTAGCATTATTTAGTGAAGTGAGAGTAATTCCTATTATATTTGCTGATATATATTTAATATTATAATATTTAATATTCTATTTTCAATGGCTTTCTCTGTTAATACCATCAAACTGGAATTTTGGTTTCAGGTACATATATATAACATTTAGAATGTAAATACTGAAGTTGATACATGGATAAAACAACATATATTTAATAAAGGACTGAAATTCACAAATCATTTATTTTATGTACTCACTTGAAAAATGTTCTTGGTCAACACCATTACTACTTCCCGTTATATCACAGAACTGTGTGTTTGTTATCAAATTGTGCATCCCAAGAATAGCTATAAATATAGGAAAACAAAAATAGATTTTACTTACATCTGCTTTAAACAAAGAATTTTACAGCTAAAAATTTCTATCAACAATTTTAACATTTTCCTACTAAATCACAGATTCTGTAGCCAGAATAAAAAAGAGACAAAGTGATTAAAAATCATCTATAATCTCTTTTTCATTAATACCTTTGTTACTTCCCCCCCCATTTCTGAATTCAGACACACAGCAGGAGCCAACCTATCCCTAAACATACATCTGTGCTTAGCTCCACCTGGTGGCTAAGAGAGAAAATTGCAATGATCTATTTTTGCTGTTCATCTCACAAGGTTTCTAGGAACATAAGATGATAAAGGATAGATTTTTCAACTGAACCTTATTATTTTTACATTTGTTAATCTCAATTTATTTTCATATTCTAGTTAAGACTAGGATACTTTTAGTATTGTTAAAGTCTTTTATTTAAGAATAAAGTCGCTTCCCTCAAGAATGTCAGCCTGGGCAACAGTGAGATCCCATCTCTACAAAACAGTAAAAAATTAGCTGGGCATGGCGGCACGTGCCTGTAGTCCCAGCTTCTTGGCAGGCTGAGGTAGGAGCCCAGGAGTCTGAGATGCAGTGAGCTATGATGATGCCATTGCACTCTAGCCCAGGCAACAAAGTGAGATCTTAAAACAAAAACAACCAAAAACCAGAATGACACTTAGGAGGGAAAATAAATTATGTTTTAGTTTTTGATGCCCTTTTGTACAAATAAGGCAGAAGCTAGAGAATGATAAAAATAACAGAGGCATGGAATGTTCCAATACACACTTCAGAAAATTTTGGAAAGTGGTGAGTACAGCTCAGGACTGACTGTTCCATTTCCACCTGCTTTCTAATTATTCATCTCTGGGTCTTCTAATAAAATGGGGCAGCAGTTGACCCTGAAGACTCTTTTCCAGTGCTTAGGTAGGAGAGCTTCTAGCTGAACACCAGCTGATAAAGGATACTTATTTAGAAAGATTTTTCAATATGGCAACATGGGAAAAGATGTCAAATAATAAAATAAATTCTATTAATATAAAAATTTAGGCAAAGCAAGTGTTTGTATTATATAATGTATATAGGTGTGTGCTGGTATTCCCCTCCCCACTCCTTCACAAATTAATTTATTTTAGGAGATACCTGCAAGGTCACACAATTCTGTATCAGAAGCACTTGTCAAAGCTTCTTCTAATTCTGGATCAAGAGAGACTTTTTCTTCTGTAAAAGTCTGTACAGGTTTCTGTTTGGGGATAAATATTTTTCCTGTAAAATAAAAGCACTTTGTTAATTCCAGTACTAATGTTATTAACTCATTATCATTTTTTACCCTTCTAACCATTACTAAAAGTATGTTCAATTGAAACTGAAGGAAAAGTGAAGATTAACATCTACGGTAATTTTGTTTCATCTTCTATATGGATTTATAAATTTCTGAGGCAATACTTTGGCTGTATAAGTTGGAAAGAAAAGAAATTTTTCTTCTGTAGAAATAAAAATAGGTGCTTTTTGGAGTAACTATGAGGTTTTTTTTTTTACTAATATTGACTCAATCAATAAATGAAAGAATAAACAAAAAACCTATAAAACTTTAAAGTGATTAAAAACAAAATCCAATTTCTTATTCTTAAAGCAACAAACTGTTACAGTCACTTGGGGGATGGCACAGGCAATTATAATTCCAGAAATTCGAGTTCCAACTGCAAAGAAATTTCTGTTATGTTCTTAGTAGTATGAAAAGTATTCTTTAACTTTTCATCATAGTTGCGAATTGGCAAAGGCCTATGTATGAATTAGGAAAAAATATGGGTCACATATTCTTGTATATTATTTGCACAGAACAGATCTCCACTTTGTGGAAAACCACCGGCCGACACGTGAAGGGTGAGGTCAGCCTCGGACTCGACACAACCGCTTCCGGCCTTCCAGCGAAATGCCTACGACTTCAGACCGACCACCTCCATGCATAGCTGGTAGTGAACAGGAATGCGACCAATATGATCGCCCGGCATGAAATATTTTAGGTGGTAATTTCGTTATATATTTTAAGTCGTGTGTCATTAAATTATATTTTGAATTGATATATTGACACTTTACCCAGCGGGTAAGAGGACACGGATCACTCATCGCTCTAGAGCATCCGGTTTCGCCATACTGGAACCTTAGACGCCAAAATAAACCGCGCCTATGCCCCTGCCATTGTGAACATAGGAGATCAACACGCGTAGAGCCAACCGAATTGAACGCCCCACGGCACATGATTCTACTTTCATACTCAAAGAAGATCCTGGAGCATGAAGAAGTACTCTATATGAGTGCTGTAGGCGTGTAATGAATTCTATGAAGTACTCTATCAAATGAAACTTTTCTGCAGGCTTCTATTCAGTTATAAATGTGTACCTGTGGACATAGTTAGTAGTGCTTATTCAAGGTAAATGTCCATCAGAACTCAATGTAGGCGGGTTATCAAGCAGGCAGAAAGAAAGAAAAGATACTACAAAAAGAATGCTGAGGATTCCTTCCTTGATGGAGTAGTCTCACATAATTACAGCCTATGGCCTGGTCAAGGTTCATTTACTGTATGTTAATCTCAGATGCGTCTTTAATTTCTTGTTTACCGCACCTCTCTCTTTTATACTGAAGAAACAAGAGAAAAGTATGTTCCCATTATTTTACATTCAGAGAAAGAATGGGGTCCCTGTGACGAGACCAGATCTTAATTTCTGATATATTTATTTTTTTAGCATTTCCATTTGTTTCTTTTAAAAAAAGTATTTCCATGTCTCTGCTAAAATCCTCCATCTCTTGACAGATGCTGTGTACCTTTTTCACCAGACTCTTTGGCATTTTTATCATAGTTATCTTAAAGTCCCTGACTGATAATACCATATCTGGGTCACCTCTGAAGCATCTTCTTTTTTTAAGAGATGAGTGTGTTATATTGCCCAGGCAGGCCTCGAATTCCTGGGCTTAAGCAATCCTCCTGCCTTAGCCTCCCAAGTAGCTGGGACAGGCTCTGGACCTTCTACTGGTTGTTTACATTCTTGGGTCACTATATGGGTCACTTTTTTTTTTTTGGGAGACAGAGTCTCACTCTTGTTGCCCTGGCTAGAGTGCCATGGCGTCAGCCTAGCTCACAGCAACCTCAAACTCCTGGATTCAAGCGATCCTCCTGCCTCAGCCTCCCGAGTAGCTGAGACTACAGGCATGTACCACCATGCCCAGCTAATTTTTTCTATATATTTTTAATTGGCCAATTAATTTCTTTCTATTTTTAGTAGAGATGGGGTCTTGCTCTTGCTCTTGCTCAGGCTGGTCTCGAACTCTTGAGCTCAAACGATTCACCTACCTCAGCCTCCCAGAGTGCTAGGATTATAGGCATGAGCCACCGCACCCAGCCTGGGTCACATATTTTTGCTTTCACATTTCTTAAGATCTTTGACTGTGTGCTAAGCACTTTGTATAAAAGTATAGCAGAGACTAAAGGAAGTTACATTCCCAGAAAGGAGCACAATTCTTAGGTCAGAGCTGAATCAATATGCTCTACAGTTGAGCGGGATCTGGGCCTTGCTGCAACTTTAATTTGACTGAATTTTCCTCATTGGCTTAAAACATTTTGAGAACCTGATCAGGAGTTTCCCTTTAGCAAGGCCTGGGATTAGAACCCTGGTGAGATTCTGGAGATCTGCTGAGCTGCCTACTTTTCTGAACTGTGAAATTTCTTCCTGATGTATAGCCCTGGCTGCCAGCTTTCTGGGTAACTGGGAGCTCTCTCTGCTTTCCAGCCCCACCCTTGGCTTGTGGTTTTCCGCTCTGTGAAAGCGGGGACGGCCTAGCAGGGATTTCTCCCTGCTCTGCTGCCCTTCCCTCCATCTCCCCCAGATAAAAGCCCATGCCTTGGGGATTTTCTCTCAGCTCTGCTTCACTGCCTCTGTTCTTGGAGTACTACCCCAGCACTAAATGAAGACCCACAGAAAAGAGCCGGGGGTTACTATTAATATATTCTCTCTCTGTCGCTAGGGCTGTACTGTTCAATATGGCAGCCATTAGCCACATGTGACTATTTAAATTAATTAAAATGAAAAATCCAGTTACTTGGTCACTCTAGCCACATTTCAAGTACTCAAAAGACACACTGGCTAGTAGCTGCCAAACTAGTTACCACAGATACTGAACATTCATTCTGTCATCACAGCAAGTTCTAGTGAACAGCACTGGTCTAGGGCTTCTCTGGATTCTAACCTACTGTGCCAGCTCACACACAGTGATTAAAAGTTTGTCAAAAGTTAGGCTGATTTCTCCTTACTTCCCTCTATGGTAGTTTCCTCCTTCTCCCTACATTTCAGTCAGGGATGAGAGCAGAAGTGGATCACTTCTTTTATGAAGGGCTTGTCGCTTTCTGGAGTCATTTAGGTTTGTGTCCTCAAGCTCTCTAATAGGTGTAACAAGAAACTATGATTATGTAGTTTAGTCTGCTTGTTTTGGTTATTATGGTGAGAATAACAGTCTCTTGCAACTTTCTACATCTGAATCAGAAGTCTTTCTAGTCAGGTATTTTCTTATTTAAAAACTGGCACTCAGTCAATCCACAATGTATTTGCATTAGTAAGGATGTTTTTAACTGCATGTAAGAGAATATCAAATTAAAATTGGTTTAAACTGGTACTTAAGCTTTAACGTGTATCTTAATCACCCCGGGATCTTATTAAAATGCAGATGTTGATGTAGTAAGTAAGTGGGGTCTGAGATTCTGCATTCCTAACCAATCTTCCAGGTGATGCTGATCAACAGACAACTCTTAAAGCAACAAGCGTTCAAACAATAAGAATTTGTATTGTCTCACTTAATATACCCACAGGAAGATGGTTCTAAGGTTGGTTCAGCAGCTCAGTGTTGACATCAAGGATCTAGGCTCTTTCATTTTTCTCTGGCCATTCTTAGCATGGAGGCCTTTGTTCTTAGGCCTTCGTGGTCTCAAGATGACCTCTGAAGCACCAAGTATCATGTCCCCATACAATTCGGTCAGGACAGAAGGAAGGGTACTTTCTCAACTGCCAACTTTTATAAGGAAACCTGCCCTGCAGATTTCTCCTCTGGTCTTACTGACCAGCGCTGGGCCACAAGTCCATTCCCCAGCTGGAAAGGCAGCTAGGAAATCAAGCACCTGTGAATGGTTGCTGACTAGGCAACTACAGTGTTTGTCCCAAATTGAAACCAAATGAAGTACTTCTGTTTCCTTAACCCCCTGAACATTTCACTATAGCTATACCTACACAACTGCACATGTGTGTCTGCCTTCTGTGAGCTTTTCGAGGATGTGATCTATGTTGTGTTTATCACTGCATCCTTGCCTAATACACAGTAGGGAATCCAATTTGTTGAATAAATAATTTGGTAACCACCTCCAATCTAATGGCCTCATTTAATAAAGTGTAATTTAAATACATGGGTTCAAAGTTACACAGTAGAGCTGTGTAGGTCCTCAAATTCTTAAGCCAGTGCTTCAGTGCTTCTTCCAATAAACTGGTAGCTTACAAAATTTTTTTAGCAGACTTTCTCCCACAAACAAATGCCTCTCTATATGGTGATATGCATAACTGATCTTAATTAGTACCAAATTTTGGAGTTCTGGTGATTATATAATCTTTTATTATTGGTTCACAGATAAAAGCAAGGCCAAATCATTATGTCCTGATAGTTCCATAGTACTTTTCACGGTCACTGATATTACAATTAAAGTGGCATGTAATTCAGGACACATTCTCCTGAGCTCAATCTCACCTGCATTTTCAGCTGCCTACAGCAGTAGTTATAAACATTAGCTGCACATTGGCTTCACTACGACAGCTTTAAAAAAATTCTAATGTCCAAATCCCACCCCAGAGATTCTGGGTTTAATTGGTCTGGTGTGCTGCATGGGGCATCTGAATTTTAAAAAGCTCTCTAGGGTCGGGGCGCAGTGGCTCACGCCTGTAACTCTAGCTCTCTGGGAGGCTGAGGCAGGCAATCTCGAGGTCAGGAGTTCGAAACCAGCCTGAGCAACAGCAAGACCCCGTCTCTACTATCAATAGAAAGAAATTAATTGGCCAACTAATATATATAGAAAAAATTATCTGGGTATGGTGGTGCATGCCTGTAGTCCCAGCTACTCGGAAGGCTGAGGCAGCAGGACTCCTTGAGCCTAGGAGTTTGAGGTTACTGTGAGCTAGGCTGACGCCACGGCATTCACTCTAGCCTGGGCAACAAAGTGAGACTCTGTCTCAAAA